AAACAGAGGCTGGAGCTCCCTCCTGAGAAGCAAACACAACTCACCCAAGCAGACATTCTCAACACCCCCAAGAAAAGCACCAGCCAGGCTCCTAGAGGAAAGCAGATTCCTTCCAATGACAGTGATTTGGCCTTAATCCTTTCCAGAATGAGAATCTCGTCAACAACACACTCAAAGCCTGGCTGCATTATCAGGTCCATTCCATTAGCTCTTGGCAAGAAATCTCCGCCCTGATGGAAGGGCAGAGGAGGAGGTTTCACTCAGATACCACACAACAGAAAGAGATGACCCCCACCAGAAAGGGAAGGCAAAGATCGTGAACAGCCTTTTGGATGTAATTGGAGGTGCTCTGGAAGAGATTTTTGGACGCCTTTTCCAAGTCTGGGCGCCAGTGTCTCTGTCCCCTGAAAGTCTCAAAAGAAATTCAAGAGTTCCAAAGAAAGAAAGAGAGAGAGAGAGAGAGAGAGAGAGAGAGAGAGAGAGAGAGAGAAAAGAGAGACAGAATTACTCAATAAGAAACAATTCTTAAGATTAACTTTTCCTTTCATAGTTGAATTAAAAGGGCTTGAGTCAAGTCCTCTTGACTTGGGAGAATCTCAGGATCCTTCTTATCATATAGGCAAATTCCCTGAGCTAATATCTTTTATGATGGTATTCAGGATATCACGACCCACATCTCACTGTCCTTTTTGTAGATAAACGTAGTCCATCAGAACCACATGTCTTTGGGAGAGATTCCCCAAAAGTCTCTTTAAAAAGGAACCTAATTCACCTAATGGTGAGTTATTCTCGCCTATTTTTTTTTCTCCATTCCTCACCCGCCGGACTGTGGCATAATGGCAGGGAATCCTGCAGCCATATTGTAATCTTGAAGATTAGAGTCATGTGCTAAGAATGGTAGAGCAGTAAGTCAGTGGGAATTCAATTCCTTATAACATCAAGGAACCCTTTCTCCAACCTGATACTTTACAAGAGAGAGAGAGAGAGAGAGAGAGAGAGAGAGAGAGAGAGAGAGAATGTGTTGAAACTCCTTTGCTGTTTCTGGCTTATGTCTCCTAGAGTTAAATTCTGTTTCTGCCTCCAGAATTCTTGCTATGTGAGATAATAAACATCCTTTGTGCAAACGGCACTGCTGTCCACCAATATCCAGTTCCCTCCTAACAACATGATCATTTCCTATTCTTTGACCTCAAATGTGATTTGCTTTGGCCAATGACGTGTGAGCAGAAGTAATGTATGTATGCCTGTTGCTAGCCCAGCCATGAGAGCCAGCATGTACTGTGTCTACTCTCTTCTCTTCTGCCAATAATAATCACAAGTGCTTCTGGCCCAGTCTTCTCCCTCAGCTCAGATTGTACCATAGTTCCTGTTGACCCACACTGGACATGCCACGTGACCATTGTTGTAAATCACAGCGTTGAGATTGCTCCTGACTACCAATTTCAAACCAAGAAGAGGGCTGTTTTGCTGGGGGTGTTTGGTGGGGGGGAGGGGAGGTTGGAGGCTAAGAAGCTCTTTGGCCTTGGCTAAGACTTTGCCAATGGAGACGTGAGTACAACAGGTAGGGTGCTTGCCTTGTAGGTGCCTGACCCAGGCTCAATCCCACATACTGTTCCCTCAGCTCAGAGGCAGGAGGAGTAAGCCTCCCCTCCAAGCATCTTTGGTGTGGCTCAAAAACCAAAACAAAAGACTTTGCAATGGCTCCTAGCACATGGTTGAAAGGAAGATCACTCCTCCTCCTTCTCCTCCTCCTCCTCCTCTTCCTCCTCTTCTCATCTTCCTCCTCCTCCTCCTCCACTTCCTCCTCTTATCCTCTTCCTCTTCCTCCTCCTTTTCCTCATTCTCCTCCTCCTCCTCCTCCTCCCCCTTTTCCTCCTCCTCCTCCTCTTCCTTTTCTTCTCTTCTTCCTCCTCCTCCCCCTCTTCCTTTTCTTCTCTTCTTCCTCCTCCTCCTCCTCCACTTCATTCTCTTCCTCCTCCTCATCCTCCTCCTCCTCCTCCTCTTCCTCCTCCTCCTCCTCCTCTTCCATGTCGCTCCTTTGCTCTCATTCATAGTTCTGACAGAAGATGTGTGTTTCCCCCCCCCAGGATATCAACAGGGTATCCTACAATTCAACCCATTGATAGCACTGACCCGCGTGAGCTGAGACTCCAGTTTCTACGGGCTCTTTCCACAAACCTGTCCCCTAATGCAAACACCCATTGGAAGGAGTAGATGCCTAGCTCCGCTCCCCAGACTTCCCCTGCCTTGAATTCACTGATTTGCTGACGAGCGCTCACATCTTCCCCCTTTCAGAACAAAAGTCATCAAGGATACAGAGGAGCAGTCAGGTGGGGGCGGGGGGCAGGGTTTGGCCAGAGGTTGATCTGCTCCATCTCTGCAGGTACTGGAAGCTGAGGTGCCTCATGGTGGTCAGTTGGGTCTTTTTGGCTGATCTCTAATAAGCCTCAACTCCTAGGTTTCAGAGGAGCCCCCCTGATCCCCAGTACTCTGTGTGTGTTGCCTCTCACTGATGCCAGAAGTTGACACACAGGGACTGGAGCGATTGTACGGCAGATAGGGCACTTTCCTTGCATGCAGCCAATCTGGATTCCATTCGGGCACTCCATATGGTTCCCAGGCCCTGTCAGGAGGGATCCCTGAGCACAGAGTCAGGAGTAAGCTCTGAGCACAGCTGGGTGTGGCCAAAAATATCCATAAGAAACATAGTCACTGTCCTTGACTCCATTGGAGAAGACCCGTGGCAGTGTCACGTGTTTCTTCCCTGGGTGAAAAATATGGTTCCTTCACCCTAATAAGCCATGACTGTGAGTTTAGCAGCTGTCGGTGACCTGAGGACCATTTTGTGAGTATTGAACCTGGGGGTGAGGAACCCCACTCTTGTAGTTGGGGTAAGATGTGCCCTTGGCTTTCCCTGCCCTGCTGTGTCTCTGGGCAGACGAACGTCACACCCTGACACTATCACGTGTCAGACACTTGGACTCATCTCCCAGAGCGGACTCTGGCCTCTGGCTCCGAGCCCTTGGTCAACAACTCAAATTAGCCAGAACACAATATGCCTTTTTCTCTGTTGTCTTTAGACTTATCTTTATGTCTCTTTCCTATTTATACCAAGCAGTACTGGCTTGCCATATGTTCTGCTTTTCAAATAAACCTATTTATGGGCTGAAGAGAGAGTAACGGGGGTTAAGGCACATGCCCCATCTGAGCAGACCCTAATTCGATCCTCAGGACTCTGGGGTGTCCAAGCATCAGTGTGACTCCAGAGTGCCCTGAGCACTGCCTGTGTGGCTTGGGTGGTACTGGGTTCCACAGGCCCGGAGCCTCACTGCATCCTTGGGCCCTTGTGAAAACTGCTGGCTCAGTTGGCCAAAAATAGCCAGGAGGGAACCCCATCCATGCCCTCTGACCATTGCTTAGGAGACCCCTTCTGACCAATAAATTAATTAATTAATTAAAAACAAAGGCCCTCCCGTGGTTCGTCGATTTGCTCGAGCGGGCCCAGTAACGTCTCCATTGGAGACTTTGTTGTTACTGTGTTTGGCATAATTAAAAACAAAAAAGAAATATGTACAGAATTACTAAGTATATATAATTTTAAAAGAAGCTGAATACAAAAACATGAAATTCTATACTTTGCCACTATGTGGATGGAACTGGGGCAGAGTCAAAGAGAACAAATCTGGAACAATGACTCTAATACACAGAGTATAAAGCCAGGGAACAAAAATGGCTGAGGCTAACAAACATTTGCGGAGGGGACAGTGGTGGAGGGACCTTGGACAGTGGCGGAGGGACACTGACACTCTGGTGGTGGGTGTGGCACAGGAACAGGGAATGCCTGAAACGTTACTTTAACAGCCCTGTAAAACTCTGTACCTAAATAAACAAGGGAGTTGATCTCTCATAAAAGCAAAATATTATTTTGGTGGAACAAAAATGTGACCGAACCTCGGAAGAGCACATGTATTAGTTAGTGACCGGGTTATTGTGATACTTTCATTTCTGTTTCATGACTTATGGTTGGAATCATTTACGCCACCCACAGTCCCTTGAACTGCTTTGTAACCTGTGAATGAGCTGAGAAGCCAGGAGTTTGTGAAACTGTTATGCAACCACTTGGGAACAAGACTTTGTCCTTTGCTTAGGGACAATGACCCTCAACCCTGGACTGAGGCCCTGTCCTGAGCCCTCCACGGTGGGGGCTGCTCAGGTCTAATCTGCCAGTGGGTTGGAAGCCCCGGGGCCTACAGGAAATAACCCTGAGGCCCACGGCCCTTCTAGACCATGATCTGGGCACTTGGGTCCCTGGAATTCCTGAGTCCACTGAGGGCCCACGTGGTTCTGGTGGGTGCACCTTAGCCCACGGGTATCTCCAAGATTTGTGGCACCTACAGGGTGTGGATGGTGTTTGGCTATGCAGGCGCCTCTCCCCCTTCATGTATGTGAGGTCCCTGGCAATGCTGGGGAACCTAGAGTGGGAACGAAAGCGGGGAATATGGTCCAGGGAACACTCTTTGCACTTGCCCAGTTCCCAATGCTACCTCCATGTTAGGCGAGCTGGTGGGGGTCCCTCGGTCCCCAGCAAGGCTAGTGCTTCTACAACTGCCCCAGGGCTAGCCCAGGCCCTCTCAGTGTCCCCCCTCCAAACTCACCCACTCAGCCCAGAGGGCCTTGTTCACAGGTACCCCCACCTGGGTTTTTTTTCTTTTGGGGTCACACCTGGAGATGCTCAGGGGTTACTCCTGGCTCTGCACTCAGGAATCACCCCTGGCAGTGCTCAGGGGACCATATGGGATGCTGGGGATTGAACCCAGGTTGGCTGCATGCAAGGCAAATGCCCTCTCCACTGTGCTATGGCTCCACACACCCCCTTCCCACCTGGGTTCTTGAGTGTGTGACTTCCTCCCCTTATTCCTTAGGGACCCTCTCTCCAGATCCTGCCACTTTCTTCCATCAGAAAGGATTAGAGTCCACAGAGTTTTATTTATTTATTTATTTTTTGTCTCTACAGAATAACTTGGGGGAGGGGCCAGGCCCAGGGTGCAGAGCAGACTTGTGGGGACGGGGTTCCTCGGGTCTCTGGCCCTGCCTCAGGATCCATCCATGTCTTCCCAGGTGGGCAGGGCTTCACTGACCACGGGGGTCTCAGGCGGGCAGGGGGAGCTGGGAGCTGGGCATGGTGAACTGGCAGGGCCCAGTTGCTCTGGGGGTGCCCATTGGATGGTCGGTCCTCGATGCCAGTGGATGGACTCACCTGCGGTTCTTCCGGCACAGCTGGGGCAGACGTCTACACTTGCCACCTGTGGGGGCATCAGTGTGAAGCTGGATGGCGCAGATTGTGGGGTACTGTGGGACACCCATGGATCCCGCCTTCCAGAAGCTCCACTCCTGGCCAGTGACCAGAGGCAGAAAATGGGGAGCCAGGGTGGGGTCAACCCTCCCCAGGACCTCCCTGAATCATACCCCCCCCCGCAGGTGCCTTTGTCAACCCCTTAGCCTCGTCTGCATGGTTTACTGTTCAACAGACAAGCACTTATTATGTACCTCCTGTGTGCCCTGGGCCCAGGGATAAGAAAGGAGTCAACTCAGACCAGCATGGGGGTCGGGGGGGAGGGCTCAGGCAAAGGCTGCATGCAAAGGAGAAGCAAGGAGGGGCCTCATCGAGGCCCCATTGGAGCAAAGAGCTGAAGGGCACCTCATGGGCATCTGGAACTCCCATAGCAGGCAGAGGGAACAGCCTGTGCAAAGGCCCTGAGGCAGAAGGGTCAGCTCTCAGGCCAGCAGAGAGGCTGAACTGGATAATGAGGAGGGGGACTTCAGAGTACAGCACCCACTGATTCCTGGGTACCCTTGTGCTGCCCCCTCTACTTCTCCAGTCTCATCACCTCTGTTCTCCACCAGCCATGCCACCCTCACCCCACTGTTGCCACCACAAGCTTCCCTCTTTCCTGGCTGGGGGCTGCACCCCTCTGCTCCCTCCAGCTGCTCTCTACTCCCCCCATCAGCAGGCATCACCTCAATTTTACCTCTTCTGAGGAAGCACATCCCGTCAACCCTCCCCAGTTCGCATTTCCCCTTTGTTCTCCACCCAGTGCACCTGGCTCTGGCTCTCCCTCCGCTCTGCACTTTGGTGCGTTTCCCTCACAATGGTCAACTCCCCAAGGACCTGAGCCCAGCCTCACACACTCAGCAGGGCACAGAGCTGGCACTCCCAAGGGTCTGTCACTTAAAAGCCCCACAGTTGATCTTCAGTCTCTGCCCTCACCAGACCTGGGGCTGGGCCTTCCCTGGACCTTAGGTTCTGTGTGAGCCTGGGGAGTCTCTTGGGTCTCTGAGCCTCACTATCCCCACCGGGAATGGGACCACCGAAGAGTGCAGCCGCAGTGCTGGGCCCCCCTCAAGCCTGCTCAAGTTAGCAACAGCTGAGGTGGAAAAGAAGGCCTGAGGAAGGCGCAGGACGAGAGCAATGAAACTGTCAGTGACCCAGCCCAGCTGAGCTTGAAACTGGGCAAGGAACCTGCGTTTGACTTAATCACAGCACTAAAAAAAAAAAAGTATCTTTTCCTGTGCAGTTCACACCCTTCAGTGTGGGGCCATGCAGAAGCCATGCAGGGCCTGCGTGCTACCCCTTGGGCCTTGCTTCTCTCAGTCTGCTTTTTCCTTTTTCTTTTTGGGTCACACACAGCGATGTACTCCTAGCAGTGCTCAGGGGACCATATGGGATGCTGGGAATCAAACCCGGGTTAGCTGTGTGCAAGGCAAACGCCCTATCCACTATGCTATTGCTCCAGCCCCCCTCAGCCTGCATTTTAAAAGCTGCTCTGGGGCCTGGAGAGATAGGACAGTGGGGAGGGGAATTGCCTTGCACGTGCCCGATTTAGGGTCAACCCCTGCACCCCCTATGATATCACCCCCCCCATCCCGCTACCAGCCAACAGGAAGCAAATCCTGAGCACAGAGCCAGGAGTAAGCCCTGGGCACCACTGAGTGTGCTCCCCCCTCCCCCCGCAAATAAACAAACAAGCCATTATAAATCAGGGACTCTACTTCTTATCCCCATTCAGCTGCCTTCTTAGCATGCCATGTCCCCCAGAGGCTGACCCGAGAGGCCACACCTCGGGCCCCTGACAGGGAGGAAAGAGCAGAGGAGAGTCCCTGCTGGTGGGGTTACAAGGAAGCAGCAGCAGCAAACCTCCCTGGGAACACTATTCCTGCCCAGGAGCACCCTCACCCGACCCTGCCCGTCTCTTCTCTCATCAGGCCCCCACATTGCCCGCCCACCCCTTCAGGGCCCCGTTATTGCTAGTCTCGGGTGCTGCATCACCCCATCACCGAAAAGTCCCTCAGAAAATCTCAGATGACAAGGACAGTAGAGACAAGGGCCAGGAAGATTGCTCCACAGTTGGAAGCCTGTCTCATGAGTGGGGGGAGAGAGAAGGCAGCTGGGATAGAGAAGGGACCACTAAGTAAGTGGGGGATCGCTCGGGATGGGGGATATGTGCTGAAAGTGGATAAAGGACCAAGCGTGATGGCCTCTCAGTATCTGCAAACCACAGTGCCCAGAAGGAGAGAGAGAGTCAGAGGGAAATTGTCTGACATGGAGGCAGAGAGAGGGATCGGATTGGGGGATGGGGGGAATGCGAGGGATACTGGGAACATTGGTGATGGAAAACGTACATTGATGGAGGGATGGATGTTCAATTGTTGTATGACTGAAACTCAAATATGAAAGTTTTGTAACTGTAGCTCATGATGATTCAATTAAAAAAGAAAAGAAAATCTTTTTTTTTTTGTTTGTTTGTGTGTCACACCCAAAGATACACAGGGGTTGCTCCTGGCTCTGCACTCAGGAATCACCCCTGGCGGTGTTCAGGGCACCATGTGGGATGCCGGGAATCGAACCCGGGTCAGCCACATGCAAGGCAAACGCCCTACCCACTGTGCTATTGCTCCAGCCCCCCAAGAGAAGAAAATCTTGATAAGCCTTTGAGGGCCCCTCTGCCACCTGCCACAGCTCTGATCCTGCCATGCACCTCCCAACCCCAGGAGAACTCTGGGAAGAGAGGCCGCTGCTAGCCCAGGCCCAGAGCTTGCACAACTGAGGCACGTGTGTCTGGGGGAGGTTTCTCTCTGGGTAAGGTCACCTCTTTCACCCTCAGTCTCAGACACTTCTCACGTCCCCATCTGGTGTGATATTAACTCAGAAATGCCCCCCTTTCTCTACCCCATGCCCTTTGAACATGACAGTGTGACTCAGGCCTCCCCACAAGGTAATTTTTCTCTCTCCATCCACTTCCTACTCCCACTAAATGACTGGCTTGGCCAACAGAACAAGACAGAAATGCCAACAGCCAAAATAATGGTAGTGGGAAGGTATCACGGCGGCGGAATTGCTATGGGAATACTGAATGGAATAAACCACCATGAACAACTTTATAAAAATAAAATTAAATTTTAAAAAAATGCCACCAGCCAATTTCGAGACCTCCTTTCACTGTCTCACAGACCCCCTGCCCCCACCCACACTGGAACAAGCTCAGGGGAGCCTACTGTGGGATAAGACCATCAGGTGAAGACCCCACGTGCCCTAGAAGCAGCAACACCCCCCCAAAGCCCAGTGACCAGAATCTGACCTCGGATACAAGAATAAGCCCAACAGTGAACAGAACAACCACCCTGCTGAGGCTGGCTAATCTTTTTTTTTTTCCCCTTTTTGGGTCACACCTGGCAATGCACAGGGATTACTCCTGGCTCTGCACTCAGAAATTACTCCTGGCAATGCTCAAGTGACCACAGGGAATGTGGGAATCAAACCCGAGTCGGCCACAAGCAAGGCAAACGCCCTACCCGCCGTGCTGTGGCTCCAGCCCCTGGCTAATCTTTCTGAATCCAGCCCTGCTTCGCTGAAGCAACCTTGCCCAGAGGCCTTGAGAAGCCATTCCTCTGAGGAGAGCAAGCCAAGGTTTGTCCCCGCCTCCCTCTGTCTGGGTGCCCCTCCTGCCCAGCGCCCCTTCTCACTGGTGAGAATGACGATGCCCGTGATGAAGAGCACAGCTGCGATCAACAAACCCCGCTTCCGGAGAGTATACTCATCTGCAGGGAGGAAACCAGAGGAAGTTGATGAGAGGAACCAGCACCCTCCCACCCCCTCGCCCCCTACCTACCCACCTCCACCCACCACATCCTGCCCGAGGTGACTTACCGTAGTAGAAGGGAGTGTTCTCCCTGGGAGTCGGAGGGCCTAGACGTGGGGTGAGGTGGAATTGAGCAGAAGTTTTCGGGGGAAATCACAGAACAGCAGAGTCGGGGGGAGAAGGAAGGAAAACCTGCGTCTTGGCTTCAGTGCAGATGGAATAAAGCCCCAAGTCCTCCCCTGGCATGCAAGCTGGCTCCCCTCACCTTCTCACTCTCGCTCACCTACGGTGCCTCTGGCCCACGAGCTGTCCTGCTGGTGACATATCAGACCAGTCACACCGCAGGACCTTGGCCCTGGCTACATCCTCGGGCTGCGGCATCCTTTCTCAGACTGCCACACAATGGTCCTCTCCTCTCCTTCCCAGGAAGCCCTCCTTGGCAGAAAAGCTCTCGGCTACTCTCTCACCCTAAATCAAGATTCCTCTTTCTCCATAGCAATGTATTACAGCTGAGGGACAGTGACCACGATTCTTATTTGCTATCTTTCTCCCCTCGCTTTGTTCCAGGGAAGAGCCTTCTTTCTAGTTCACTGCTGTATTCCTAATACCATGTGCCTGGCACACAGCAGGTACTCCATAACTATTCTTTTTTTTTTTTTTTTGCATCACACCCGGTGATGCACAGGGGTTACTCCTGGCTCATGCACTCAAGAATTACTCCTAGTCGAGCTCGGGGGACCATATGGTATGCTGGGAATCAAACCCGGGTTGGCCACGTGCAAAGCAAACGCCCTACCCGCTGTGCTATTGCTCCAGCCCCCACCATAACTGTTCTGAATGAATGAGTAACTGAATTCTCTATGCGGCCCCCGGGGATGTCATTGCTATCTGTTCACTGATGGCCAGGGTGGAATATAAGCATGTGATGGGGAGATCCAGGGACTCCTACATGCGAAGGTCTCTGCTGACACCAAACTAATCTGAGATGCCAGGGCAAGTCAAGCTGAGAATAGGAGAACCGCCCAGCTGAGCCCAGATGAACTGCAGACTTCCAAACTACAGAGCCGAGAGCTAAATAAACGGTTGTCATCCTAAGCCACTGCTTGGTACCAGCAGTCTCACTTAGGCATCAATTCATCAATTCTGTCATTGATTTCGCAGTTGACCCAGCACCCAGCCTCTCCCAAGCATTAAGCCATGCATCCACTTAGCACACATTCACTGAGGACGGTGCAGGGCTGGGCAGTATTCCAGGTGCTAGAAATGCACAGGGGGTAGGGGATTGTCTGCTTCAAGTCTGGGAAGGGACTTACTGACCGGTTGGCCTGTCGTCACGGTCCTTCAGGATGATCCTGAATGGGACTCGTGTCGGGGAGCGTGTGGGGCCTTCGGTGGAGCAGCAGATGATGAGGGGCCGGGAAGAGCAGTGGGAACAGAACAAAGAGAATCAATGAACACTGGGTGCCTGGGAGAAGCCTCTTGCGCACCCCCATCCAGTCCATGTGTGGGCAGAGATAAGGGGTGAGGGGTCACTCCCCCCAAAGCAGCAGGAACAGCAGGTGCGACTATATTGAAAAAAGCCTGCTCTCTTAAGTTAAAACCCACTACCCAACCTCTGAGGAGCCCCTGGCCCCTCTCTTAGGACTTCTGAGACCACCCCAGAATCAATCTAGGAAATGAAAGGTCACATCTGCCAGAGGGCCTGCAGAGTGGAGAGAGTTGTTATCAAACATGGAATGTCACCTCTCCCCCAGACCAAAAATACCAGTGTAGGGCTGGAGGAAAGCACAGCAGGTAGGGTGTTTGCCTTGCACGCGGCTGACCCGGGTTCGATTCCCAGCATCCCATATGGTCCCCCGAGCACCGCCCGGAATAATTCCTGAGTGCAGAGCCAGGAGTGAGCCCTGTGCATTGCCAGGTATGACCCAAAAAGAAAAAAAAAAACAGCATATTTCCCGTTCTTGCCCCCCTCAAAGTCCATGGTCCAGTCCGAAGAAAACACAGGCAGATGTGTCCCCAGCAAATTACCCCCTACAGTAACCCCCATGAAAAGCCAACAAGTGGAACCCCAAGCTCCCAGGCCTCCCAGCACCTCAAACCTGATGGAACCGACAGCCAGTGATTAGAAGAGACCCAGGAAAGCCTTATCCCAAAGGGACTGCACTCAGCACCATCAACAGAGAGGGGGCAAAGAGGGGCCCAATGTTGGGTGGCTCACATCCCAGCTCTCCTACGTTAGGCTGTGTGGCACAGGACTAGCTGAGTGACCTCTCTGAGCCTCCGTTTCCTTCTCTAAAACACGGGGATACAGAACAGAGGGATACTACACCAGGTAAGTCACTTGCCTTGCACACAGCCCCCCGGGTTCTATTCCAGGCATCCCCTATAGTCCTGAACGCAGAGCCAGGAGTAAGCCTTGAGCACCACCAGGTGAGGCTCAAAAAGTAAAACAACATAAAACAGAGGGCTGGAGAGCTAGTACAGTGGACAGGGCACTTGATTGCACATAGCCAAATCGGGTTCGATCCCCGGCATCACATATGGTCTCCCGAATTACTCCCACAGAACCAGGAGTAACCCCTGAACATTACTGGGTGTGACCCAAGAGCAAAAACAAAATAAAATGGAAAAACAGCTGTTTCCCAATCTCAGGAGTGCTCGTGAGCACTGCACGCTTCGAATCCATGCAAACGCAGACCAGGGTCCTGCACGGGATGAAACACAGCAGTCGCTGTTGTTGTTTGCTGTTATTATGACTGACTGGCACCCTCTCTTCCGAGAGCAGCCCCCCACTTTCTGCTCCAGCTTCACTGCGCCCTCAGTGTCTCCCAATAACCCAGCCACCAGGGGGCGCACATGATCAGTCTCACCCTACTCTGGGACCCTGAGCAGACCAGTGATGGGGTGCAGGGGTGGAGGGAGATGGTGGGGCCACAACTCCAGGAGGGGAGAAGCAAGCATGGAGGCGGGAGAGAGGCTGTGGGGCCTGGGAGCTGTGACTCCCAGTGACCTCAAGGCTCCACGGTCCCCACCACCCTTCTGCCATGTACCACAGGGAGTATTACTAAGCAACACTAAGTGACTTGGGTACGGGCGCTGGGTAAGTGAATTCTGAGTAATTCATAGTGAATGTAGGGCAAGTGAATTTAGAAAAATTTTCAGTGGGGAAGTACAGACCCTCCCTCCCGTAACCTTGACCCCATGACACTATTCCTGTGTGCTGTAAAACGGGTTTCATTGATTCCATCAGAATGAGAAAGTGGTGATGACGTCAGTGTTCTTGTACAGCACCCAGACTGTGCAACCGTGCCTGCATTTCAGCCTGTGAGAAGCGAAGTCACAGGACACTGAAGTGGGGGCCGCTCCCCAGAAATGGATCCTCTCAGGACTAGAGTGATAGTAAAGCGGGGAGGGTGCTTGCCTTTCACGCAGTTGACCTGAGTTTGATCCCTACCACCTCAGAGGGTCCCCCCAAATCCCCCAGGAGTGATCCCTGAGCACCGAGCCAGGAGTAAGCCCTGAGCACCGCTGGGTGTGGCCGCCAAACAAAAACAAAACAAACAAGGAGATGGATGGTCTCACTGCCATTAGCTGGGCTCATTTCACGCCTGCCCCTCTCCTACGTCTCTCTCCAGACAGTGACCTCCCCCAGGAGGTCTTCATCTGTGTGGTCCAAGCAGGGTGGATCCCCACTCTCCAACCCTGGGTGGGGTGGGACCGGGTGAGGTAGGGCATGAGGCTTGGGTCTGACCAGTCAGCAGTCAATTTTCCAGCTTCCCAGGGGCCAGACATGGCCGTGTGACTCTAGCTGGACCCATTCGAATTAGGGTAAGGCCTCAGGGCTGTAGATAAAGAGATGTTATCTCACTGTTCAAGTCCTGGGCTGAACTTGGAAGTAGGAGACCATCACTAGCACCAGGAGGGGGGAGCTGCTTGAGAATAGGGCCAACAGGGCTAAGACAGGGAGCAGATCAGCAAGTCAACGATAGTAGCAGGGTTTGTGCTCCTTGATCCAGCCATGCCTGAAAGCAGTCCTCTGGCCTTTGCAGAACAGGCAGCACCTGTTGCTGTTCTTGCTTAAATTGATTTTTCTGCATTCTGCAAGAGCAGAGCTCCTGGAGTCGGAGTGATAGTATAGGAGGTAGGGCATTTGCCTTGTACACGGCTGACCTGGGTTCGATCCCCAGCATCCCATATGGTCCCCCAAGCACCGCCAGGAGTAATTCCTGAGTGCAGAGCCAGGAGTAACCTCTGAGCATTGCTGGGTGTGACCCAAAAAAGATAAGAAAGGAAGGAAGGAAGGAAGGAAGGAAGGAAGGAAGGAAGGAAGGAAGGAAGGCGGAAGGAAGGAAGGAAAGAAAGAAAGAAAGAAAGAAAGAAAGAAAGAAAGAAAGAAAGAAAGAAAGAAAGAAAGAAAGAGTAAAGCTTCTGGTCTCAGGAGAACTTACCCACTAGCACCCGCCCTGTGAAGGGCTCCAAACTAGACATTCTTCTTAAGGACACTCACCACAAACAACAGTTATTAAACTGGCAGCTGTGTTTCACTATTTCCCAAGCGCCATCGACCACAAAACAAAACACGTTTCTGAAAATCTGCTAACAGTTCCCCTGTCGGGTGCTCTGAGAAACACGCTGTGGGGAAATGCAGCCCCAGATGGAAAGTCCAACGATTTTCCCAGGAGGCTGTTCCCAGTGACAAACGCTACCTTCCATACCTTCCACGTGTCTCTGGTCTGAGCCTGCAGGTGTTGCTCGAAGGACATCGTCTCCAGTCGGACTCTGCTTCTGGGTGGTTTCTGCACAGGTCATAAGAACCAGGAGAGAAAAATAGAGGATGGGTGACAGGCAGCCCCACACAACAGCAAACACCCCCGGCCCTCCTCCCCCATAGGTCAGACAAGACCTCCAAGTATCAGTGAGTCTGGGAAAGGAGGCAGAGCTGTCTCGTAACTGGGCACCCCATTGCCCAAGTGGTTTAGAAAACAAACGTCAGAGCCCTGAGGCATAGCTCAGTGTCTAAACGCATTTGCCCTGCAAGCATAAAACCATGAGTGTGATCCCAGCATTGCCCACTTGCACAAAGTTGTCCTCTCGGCTCTATGTCTGGGACCCCAGAGACTCAACCCCCAGAGTCTGTGGTCTCCCGAATATGGCCAGGCGTGTGCCAAACCCCACCCTGCAGACATTTCAACAGCAGCCACAGAGAAAAAGGAAGGGAAACTTCTTTTTTCATTTTATTTAAAAAATAAATAATAAATGTTGGTGTCCCCTGTGCCACAGTGTTGATCTGGCGTTTTGGTTTTTGATTTGGTCTTGTTTTGGGGTCCACAACCAGCAGTGCTCAGAGCTTATTCCTAGCTCTGAGCTTGTGGATCATTCCTAGTGAGCTCAGAAGACCACATGGGATTCTGGGATTGAACCCAGGTTGCATGCAAGGCAAATGCTCTCCCCACTGTACTATCGCTCGAGCCCCTGTGTCATAGGGCTAAAAGCTGGGGACTAGAGCCAGCATCCGGGACTCTGACCAGCTGTATCTCTGCCTTGCCCCCCAGGAGATCCTCTGAGCTCCCATTTCCTTCTCTGTAGAGTAGGTATAGTGGTGTGTGTGCGTGGGAATCAAATGGGTGAACGCAGGTTAGAGATTTGAGTTTGATGGGCATTTAAGAGCTGTTTGCCCAGGAGGTGGAAGAAAGGCACTTGGTGGCACTGTGTATAGCAGAAAGAACTGCAAGCTCTCTGATGCTCGTGGAGAGGGACTGGCTTCAGGAATCCCACCCCAACCCCTCCACAGAAAACCACGGGCTATCAGAGAGAGCAAGTCAAGTTCCTGCTTTCTTTCTTTTATTTTATTTTCTTTCTTTTTTTTTAAATTTTTTTTTACTCTTTGGGTCACACTTAGCGATGCAAAGGGGTTACTCCTGGCTTTGTACTCAGGAATTACTCCCGGCGGTGCTCAGGGGACCATATGGGATGCTGGGGATCGAACCTGGGTCGGCCGCGTACAAAGCAAACGCCCTACCCACTGTACTATCGCTCCAGCCCTCCAAGTTCCTGCTTCCAAATGTTTGTTCTATAAAAAAGTTAAGCAGGGTCTGAAGAAATGTATCATGGGGAGGGCATTTGTCTTGAACATGGCCAAACCAGGCTCAATTCCCCAGGGCCCCATGTGATCCTCCAAGTTCTGCCAGGAGTGATTCCTGGGCCCAGAGCCAGGAGTAAACCCTATGCATCACCAGGTGTGGTCAGAAAAATAAGGCAGAACAAAAAGAAAAAATACAAATAAAACAAAACAAAGCACGTCATTGCACTCATACAAATGCACGTCCAGCCAGTGCATTTTCTTCAATAATTCCCGTGAGTTATAGCATCACCCACACCCCACCCCAGTTCCGGCCTCAAAGACTGGGGAGAGAATAGGATGGGAACAAAAGAACTTAGTCTCACCTGCAATAGCTATATTATTTTCATGGGGAACATACGCACTGCTCTAGCACAATAAAGGAAAATTGAAAAGCACTTTTAAACAAAATTTATTTTGGAGTCACACCTGCCTGGGTCTGGAGTGACAGCACAGCGGGTAGGGCATTTGCCTTGCACGCAGCCGGCTAGCCGACCTGGGTTCGATTCCTCCGCCCCTCTCGGAGATACCGGCAAGCTACTGAGAGTATCTCACCCACATGGCAAAGCCTGGCAAGCTACCCGTGACGTATTCAATATGCCAAACACAGTAACAAGTGTCACAATGAAGACGTTACTGGGCCCGCTCAAGCAAATCGATGAACAACAGGAGGACAGTGCTACCGTGCACACCTGTCTGTTATCAGGGGCTACTCCCAGTTCTGTGCTCATAGGTCACTACTGGCAGTGCTCAGGGGACCATGCCATGTCAGGAATCAAGCCTGACCCACTCGCTCCGGCCCCTAAATTGAACAATTTAGACACATGTGGATTTTAAATTGTGCACAACTGAAGCTTATGTGTTATAATGCAGCATTACTGCAATGAGGGGGGAATATAAAAATGGTATTAAGGAAAGAAACAGGGGCCCGGACTGATAGTATAATAGGTAGGGTGCTTCTCAATGTGGTTGACCTAGATTTAATCCCTGGTACCACATATGACCTGGTTACTGTCCAAGTGATCCTGAGCACAGAACCAAAAGTAAGTCCTGAGCATAGCCACTTGTGGCTCAAAACCAAAAAGAAAATAGACAAAACTAAAAAATATAAATGAAGAAGGGGGGAAAGAAAGGAAGGAACAAAGGAACAAGGAAAGAAGGAATGAAAGAAGAAGTCAGGGAGAGAGGGAGGAGACATGAAAACCCAGTTTTGTCATAGCAAAACTGTCAAGGAAAAAACATTAATAAGTAGCTATGGTGGGGGTGGAGAAGGTGTAAGAATTAAGGATACCTTTTTTCCCTTCCAAAGAGAAAAGCAGCTGAATTGTTTTAAAATGTTTAAATCTTTGGTCAGAGAAGCAAAGTTTAGATGGTTAACTTTGGTGTTCCTTAGGATAATGATGCATTGGTGTTGCTCACACAGTTCTGGTAATTCAATGCCTGGGATAGTTAAAAAAGAAATCAAGAACAGAAAAAGATGAAAAGATGAAAGGAAGCCACAGGAAGGGCAGCCGGTGATGGGGGTGGTTAGCCTGGGTTCGGTGTAGAGCAGTTTGTTAAATCATCCATTTCTGACGGTTGGTACTTCTCCATATGCACGTTACATTTCACAATTTCAGAGATGTTCTGTTTGTTTTAATAAGTGAATGGAGTTCTCTGGTTGCCTCACCATAAAGTAAACCAGGCGGGTCAAAGCTGGGGGTGGCGGTGTGTCGGAGGGAAACAGGGAGCATGTCTGCCCCGGGCCCACCTCCCTGAGCCCACCCCTGTCCACTCACCACCAGGCTGCCGGGCGGGGGTTGGAGGTCTGGACTGCAATTCTGGGACGTCAGTGTCTGAAGTCCGGGACAGGACATTGGGGAGAAAAGAGAGAAGGTGTGGAGGTCACTCTTGGAGGTCCCCAGCAGAGCCAATGAGAGCCCAGTTTTGATGCAATGAAAATGATGTAAACAATCTGGCCTTGTGTCAATTGCCCAAATGCGTTGCCAGTATCTCTCCTGTCTCGGAACTTCCATCCCAGTGATGCCCACTCCCCTACTCTGCGCCCACCTGCCTCTGGTAAGAGCACCTGGATCACCTTTGATGAAACAGCCCTAGAGGGCACTGAACCCAAGCCTGGAATCTGGCCAATCAGCGTTCTGCGCCACAATGACCAATCACAGGCAGGCACGTGACTGAGCCTAACCAATGATAGTCAGCCCTGGGACATTCACTGGATGTCATGATGGAAAGGGAATTTTTTTTTCTTAGCAAATAAAACAGAATGCCCAAGCATCACTGGACCCAGAGAACGTGCCTGAGAATTAAGCCTCCCCAGAAAAAGCAACAAGTTTTCCGCAGCAACATTTCAGCACCTAGATCACGCCAGGCCTAATGCTCTTTCATTATTCTTCAGCTACACAGCTCCAAAAAAAAAAAAAATCACTCTTTGGTTCACACTTGAGATTTTTCTTGCTGCTGCTACTTGCAATGACAGGCACACGACGGACTTTACCTTGAACTTGAGTTTGGGAGTGAATGCTGACAGGGGCTGGGTCTCCAGGAGAAATGATTGTGTCCTTCAGTGTTTGTCCTGGGAAGTCAAGGATGTGAAGTCAGAGGAGAATGTCCTCTCACCCACACTCCCACATTCCCCACCCTTCTGTGATCTCGGGGTTAACTTAGGACGTGTTGTTGCTGGTGGGGCAGCAAGCGGCTGTTTGACCCACATGCTTTGGCGGCATCCATCTGAGATTCAGGAACTAGTCTCAAAAATGTGGATACCCAGGGCTGGAGCAGGTATAGCACAGTGGGTAGGGCGTTTGCCTTGCACGCGGTTGCCCCGGGTTCGATTCCCAGCATTCCATATGGTCCCCCAAGCACCCCCAGGAGTGATTCCTGAGTTCAGAGCCAGGAGTAACCCCTGAGCATTGCTGGGTGTGACCCAAAAAGAAAAAAAAATGCCGAACCCCTGCACTCTAGCCATGCCGTCTCTGTGGGATGAGGGAGTCAGTTCCACCTCGAGAGTCATTCAGGAACCTAGTTTTGGATGCTTCTCCCCACCTCTCCCTCACTGCGGAAATGGAGCGAGTGAAATCTACTCTCTGAGGCTCCGTGGGCTTATCTGCTGAGTGGGGGTAAATAATCAACTCACACCTCTGGGTTGTGGAGAGAGAAAGGAGATGGAAGGAGGGGAAAGAGTCTCCCCCACACTGCTTAACCTGTAGTCATTGCTGGAGAGACCCACTGCCCAGCCTGGCCCACACATCCCCTGCCCCTGGCTGGTCCCAGCCCCGTGGCCCGCCACAGTCAGAGGGGAAACCATGAACCCAAGGCAGGCAGCACCCTGCTCTCTCCCACTCTGTGTCTCCATCTTCATCCCAGTAAAAGCAAAGTCCTCACCTTGCTCATCAGTCCCCCGCCATCGGAGCCCTGCGTACCGCTTTGGCGTCCCCCCAGCTGACCCCCTCCTCAGCCCCTGGCCCTGCCGGTGGTTCTCCCGCACTCACCCCAGACCTACACGACCTGCCTGCCTTATCCTCTTGGCCCTTCCGGGGGCAGCTGTGGAAGTTTGCCTCCGACGGGTGCTTCCGGGATTCCCTGTTTGTTCCCCTTCCTTCCCTTTGTGGCCAATGTTTCTATACTGACGGGAGCTGCTTGCAGGGCTGAGCAACTAGGATTAGCACCCTGGCATGTGGGATAAAACTCAAGGCCTCAGGGGCCTCACACTGACAAAGTAGGTGATGTCTGAACTCTCCTGGGCCCCCTGACCCTCCTGTGGAAGCTACCCTCGGGTCCTACTCCTCTCTCTCTCCACAACGCTCACCACCTCCCAGCACTCCAGGTCATGGACTCACAGGTGGCATGTGGCGTCTTTCCCAGCTAGAACGCGTCGACCCATTCTAATCACTGGGTTTTTGTTTGTTTGTTTGTTTGTTTGTTTTTGTTTTTGCAGACCCAGTCAGATCCAGCACAAAATAGCTGCTTGACCAACACTGCTGAATGACTCATGAGAAGCATCTTATCAAGAGAAACGGGGTGTGTGGGATTTCAATGGCATGTACACTCTCTGTGTGGGGTTCAGGCGGGATGAATGGAATCCCAGCCGCTCTGCTGACTAACTTCTGGCACAGGCTACTTCCCTTCACAGAGCCTCAGTTTCCTCATCCATACAACGAGCTGAACCATAGAGAGCTGCTCTGAAGCCAAACTGAGCAAAGGCAGCACCTGGCAAGGGGGCACGCGTGCCCTCAACCACAGCTCTTGCTTTCAAGAAGAAAATTCTGTCGGGACGGGCAGCGGGGCAGCCTCTCTGAGGGGGCTGACTGGCCTCAGCTGGGTCTCCTCGATGCCTAGCCCGCCCCACCATCCCCCCCATTCCTACCCCGGGGATCCAGGGAGCCCAGGTTTCTGGCGGTAAAGCAGAAAACCAACAGCCACAGCCCTGCCAAGCCAAACGCCGTGAGCTCTTCCCGGGGGTGAGGCGGAGGCTGCCCAGCAGGACAGGCGCTGGCCAGACTCTGTGGAAGCAGCCGCCCTGCTCTGAGAGGCCCAAAGAGGGTCTAACGGCAGCCGCCTCCTGGGGCTGCTGGGCGGAAGCTGGGGACGCCAAGGGGGCAGCCAGTCACCTGTACCCACCCGGTGGCCTGGAGGAGGGGCTGTGGACAGGGTGGGGCAGGGGTGGACCTTACCTTCAGCCGGGACAATCAGGCCCACGAGGGTCAGCAGACACAGCCGGCGGAAGGGAGACATCTGTGGGGGCAGCAGGAACTGGGGTCGGCCAAGGCAGCCCCCCTGCCAAGCCACCCCCCAGCTTCAAGGTCACACCCCACCACCCAGCAAGGCAGACAGCTGGCTAAAGGTCCGGAGAGGGTCCCAGAACTGGGGAGGTCCAAGCGCTCCTCACTTCTCTCTCCAGGTCTCCCCCAAAAGGAGAAGCCTCAGTTGAAATTGGGGTTCCGGCAGCAACCACTGACCATCCAGAGAGGCAAAATAAATAAAAGCGGCCCCTGCTCCCCCGACCCCGGCAGGCACTTTCCCCACCACCACCACCACTACCACCACCACCCCGGGCCCCTCCGGAGCCCCGAATTAGGGGGGTGCTTCGGCGGCCCGTCCCGGGGAGCTGGAGGAGGCGGCAAAGGAGGGGCGGAGAGGAAGAGTGAGTAATAGGCTCCTGATGCAGAGGAAAAAGTGACTGGGGTGCTCAGCCGAGTCCCGGCCAGCCGAGGGGGCTGGGGAGATCCGGGTCGCGCTGCCCCGAGCCGGGCCGGGGCGAGCGGGGAGACTGAGGCAGGTGGGAGCCCGCGCGCGGTGGCGGGGACCCCCGCGGAGCGGCCGGCAGGAGCGCGCGCGCACACGGGGAGCCCCCAGGAGGCGCGCGGACCCCCGAGGTGTGGACCCACCTGAGCAGGGGCGGCGCCGGGCGGGCGGGCAGCGGACGGTGGGCGCGGCGGGCAGGGGCGGCGGGCGTGGGGCGCGGGGCGTTCGAGCCTCGTGCAGCGCCGCGGCCGGGCCGAGGGTGTGGCCAGGGGCGCGCGGGCGGGCCGGCCAGGCTCAGTCATTTCCTCTCGGGTTTCCTTTCCTGGCCGGTGGGAGCAGGGGGGGGGACACCCCGGGCGGCGGGGCGGGGCGAGGGCGGACCCCCTCGGCCCGCAGGTCTGCCTGGGTGGGGCCCGCCGGAGGAGGTGGTCGCGGAGGGATGGGGAGGGAGAGGGAGGGGGCGCTCGCAGGGGCTGGGGGTTTGCTGTGCCCACCCACCCCCATTTTGTCCCCACAGATGAGAACACACAGACAGAACAGGGGGGAAAAAACAAATGCACATTTATTAAGCTCATGACAGAGACACCGGGTGCAGGGGCAGGGAGCCTGGGGGCGCCCCCAGAACCCAGGAGCTGGAGGCCTGAATCCGGGATGCGGGGGTAAGGGGGGTGCGGGCGCTTTGAGGGGATCGGTAGTTGCCAAGGCCTAGGGAGGGCGGGGAGGAGGGTGCAGTGGCTCCAGCCTTGGGGAGGGGTGGCTCATTTGGGGGAGCGCTGCCAGGGTGGGGGTCCCCAATGCCTCCGCCCGTTCATCAGGCTCCCAAACTCAGGCAGGGACTGCAGTGGAGCTGGTGCCCAGGATGGTCTTAGACGCCGCCGCCTCCGGGAGCTGTGGGGAGAGGGGGCAGAAGAGGAAGGGGAGACAGAGGCAGAGAAGCCCGGTGGGTAGCTCCCTGGAGGGTCACAGCCAGTAACTGCTGAGGCCCCACCTTGGAACAAGGGATGTGTGTGTCCTGTGTGTGTATGTGTGTCAGTCTGTGTGTCTGTGGGTGTGTGTATGTCTGTGAGTGTATCTGTGTGTCTGTAGGGGTGTGTGTGTATGTGTGTTTATCTGTGTGTGTGTATCTGAGTGTTTGGGGGGCCCAGGGCTTTGACCTGGTAGAGAACACACCCTGATTAAACCGGAGACCCTTTCGGGAAGACATCCTCCTTCAGAAAGTCCCTCGGCCCTGCTCCAGGCCGCTGCCGACCCTGGGGCTTATGATGTCCCGCAGCCCCCCCGACTGTGGAGGGCCCGGGCCCGCCACGCCAAGGCCCCTCCTGATGCCCCCAGCCCCTCCCCTGATGCCCCCAGTCCCCTTCTGGTACCCCCAGACCTCTCCTGGCACCCCAGCCCCCTCCTGATGCCCCCCAGCCCCCTCCTGATCTCCCCCACCCCATATGTGGAGCTGCAGCTTGGGTGGGACCTGGCCTGGCGGGTGGGTGAGGGTCTGGGTGGGGCCTGGCTGGGCGCATCAGCCCTAGGCCACTAACCACTGTACATGTCGAAAAGAGAAATAACACAGGGCCTGAAATCCCACCCAAACACCCACTGCTGAGAAGCCCTGGCCCGCTGCTCTAGTAAGGGACATTCCCAGCCCTGGGCATTAGAGAACTAAAGCCCAGCAAGGCCATAGCTCCACCCCAAACAGGTGGAGACATATTTACACAGTGAAAAGGACGCCCCAAGGGTCAGCTTGCCCCCAAAATCTCCATCTCTCCTCTACTCCCCTCGACCTTTCCTCCGCCTGCACCAACTATTCATTCTAGTCCAACCCCCTCTTACACCCCATCACACCCTCCTCACCCGCATCCTTCTTCCCCCCACACCCTCCCCACCCCACACCCTTCCTTACCCACAATCCTCCTCACCCCTCCTCACCCACAACCCTCCTCACCCACAATCCTCCTCATTCCTCACCCTTCCTTACCCACACCCCTCCTCACCTACAATCCTCACCCCTCACCCCTCCTCACCCACAACCCTCCTCACCCACATCCACATCCCTCCTTACCCACAACCCTCCTCACCTCACACCCTCCTCACCCCACATCCCTCCTCACCCATATCCTCCCCCACACTATCTCCTCACTCCACACCCTCCTCCTGCCACACCTTTCTCACCTCACACCCTCTTCACCCACACCTCTCCTCACCTTATACCCCTTCTCACCCCACACCCCTCCTCATCTCATATCCCTCCTCACCCACATCCCTTCTCACCCCCCCACACCTCCTCACCCACCCCTCCTCACCCCACACCCCTCTCACCCATAACCCTCCTCACCCCTCATCCCTGCTCACCTCACACCCTCCTCACCCACATCCCTTCTCACCCCCCACACCTCCTCAACCCACCCCTCCTCACCCCACACTCCTCTCACCCATACCCCTCCTCACCCCTCACCCCTCCTCACCTCACACCCTCCTCACCCACATCCCTCCTCACCCCACACCCCTTTCTCCCCACACCCCTCCTCACAGACACCCCTCTCACCCTTTCCTGCCTGTCACACCTGTCTTCTGTGCATCTTTTCTTTGGTTCCCTCGCCCCCCCCACCCCCCACCCCGGGAAGTGTGGCCACCCAGCTGCCTTCTCTCCCAGGCTGAGGGGAGGGGCAGGCATCTTTCTGGGGCCCACTCAGGGGCTGTGACTATCTCCTCTGTGATACCCTCCTATTGCCTCTCTTCTGCCTTTCCTCAGCTATGTCCCAGCTTCCAGAAGCTTCCAGTGCTCTCACAGGCCACAGACTCTCTGAATTCTTTGGGGTTGTCCCGGTACCTCCCGTGTCCGCCATCATGGTGGTCCTGCTCTAAGGACCCCCTGGTGGTCTCCCCTCTAAGGACCCCCTCTCTGTCCTCACTGTCTCCCCCGAAAACTTCTAGTTTTCTCTCACCTGAGGAGGGAAGCTCTGACTTACAGGATTTGCACGTCGGGCTGTGGAACAAAGACAGAGATAGCACAGAAGTTCCCCGGGCTTTATAGGACCCTGGGGGGATGGATGCCCTTCTGTTAGGCCCCCCTCCCCCCTGCATCCCAGCATCCCACCCCCCGCCCCATCCTCCCACTGCTGCCGCCGCACCTCTCAGACCTGGAGTCAGCCTTCCTGCACTTCACCTTCTTGCCTGTCAGCAGAGAGAGACACAAGGACACAGGACTTGAGGGTCTGGACACCAGGCCACGGGGGATCTGTGGGTGATTTGGGGCCCTGGGCCACCCTCTTTTCCCCCGAGGGGTGACACTTACTGAGGATGATGATGATGCCCAGCACGAACATTATGGTAGCCAGGGTCAGGCCTATAGTCTGCACGGTGTCATAGTCTGGGGGGAGAACAGGGGGCACCATGGTGGGGTACACCTCTGCCCCTCTGCCCATCCCCCAGCCTCTGTCTGACTTCCACACTGCGGGGGTCCAGGATTCAGGGATGCTGCAGGGCTGAAGTGACCCCCCTCTGTGGATGACTACTTACAAGCCCCCCGGGCCTCTCTCACTACCATCATCTCCACCCTGGAGGAGACCCAGGACCCCCCTTTCTGTGTCCCTGCTCCTACCCCCACAGCGGATCATCTGGACCCTCCCATGTTGCCCAGCCAAGTCTGTGATCCCTCAGAGATACCCCAGCATCTGATTATAATCAGAGTAAAAGCCAAGGTCCCCAGCATAAGCCCACAAAGCCGCAAAGTCTCTACACACACATCCCTCCCCTTTCCCGCTCAGCACCTGCCTTTTAGCCATGTTCTCTCCTGTTGCTCCTGGAGCCTGTGAGGAGCTGGTTCTGCCACAGGGCCTTTGCACTGGCTCTTCTCTCTGCCTGACAGCCCTTCCCCTAAACATCCCCGTCCCTCCCTACACCTTCTCTGGATGTCCTATTTGGACTTTTCCTCTTTTCTCAACATTTTCTAATCTCATTTTTTCCCCTTCATTTTCCTTCCTCAGAATCTCGTCTAGTGTCTAGTGCCCTATGGGGAATATTTGTTGAAATGCAAATTTTGGAGCATTTGCTCTGCACCAACAAAGGCCTCTGCCCTGATAGAGCTGAATTTGCATTGTGCATGGCCAACCTGGGTTTGATCTCCAGCACCCCATATGGTCCCCCATACCCAGCACCCATACCTGAAGAAGAACTAAGCAAAATAAAACCTAAAACCAATCAAAGTCATATGTCCATGTCTGTGGGTGAACTCCTCCCACTGGGAATCAGGGAAGAGCTCTCTCACTCTCTCTCTCTCTCTCTCACATACATACACTCTCTCTCCCTCCCTCCCTCCTTCTCTCTCTCCCTCCTCTCTCTCCCCTTTCTCTCTCTCTCTCTCCCCCTCCACTCTTCCTCCTCCCCCCTCACTCCCCCTCCCTCCTTCTGTGTGTGTGTGTGTTCTTTGTTTCAGGGTCACACCCTATGGTGCTCAGAACTTACTCTTTCCTGCCCCTGTGCTCAAGGATCACTCCTGGCAGGCTTGGGGGACCATATGGGATGGTGAGGATTGAACCTTCATCAGCTGCCTTACCTGCTGTACATCCCTTGGACCCCATGGGAAGGCCTCTCCTAACAGAGCAGAGTGGTTGGTATTTGATTTAATTTGTTTCTTTTTCTTTTCTTTCTTTTTTTTGGGGGGGGAGTTGGGGCCCCCTGCTCAGTGACACTCAGGAATTAGCCCTGGCTCTGCACTCAGGAATCACTCCTGGCGGGGTATGGGGGACCATATGGGGTGCCAGTGATCAAACCCAGGTCGGCCATGCACAAGACAAATAAACGCTCTACCTGCTTCACTCTATTGTTTTGGCTGCTGGTATTTGATTTGAGGCCAGAAGGAGAAAAGGAACCTGGATTGGCTGTGTGGGGAACTAGAGGAGGGTCTTCTTGGCAGAAGCGGCAGACACAAAGGCCCTGGGGTAGGACAGGACCCAGTCCATTGAGGAACAGTGTGATTGAATCAGGAATGTTAACAGGAGGAACTGGGGTGGCTTGTGGGGGACAGAACACTGGAAAAGGACCAGTTTCTTGGAGCATCAGAACTGTGAAGCCAATTGAATGGCATTTTCTAGATAAGTTGCCTCCACAATTCTCGTAGGTGGAAGCTGTTAGCTCTCTCTTATTTCCAGGATTCCGAGAAGCTGTTGCTTGCCCAAGCCAGCTACAGCATGGTCAGACAGGATTCAAATCCAGGCTGCCCGGGCTCACTTGTCACTTGTATCACTTGTCATCCCATTGCTCATCCATTTGCTCAAGCAGGTGCCAGCAATGTCTCCAATCATCCCTGTCGTGTACTAGACTAATTCTTTGATCACCCCTATATAACAGCCCAGAGTCCTGGCACCCTGAAGGGTAACCCCTCCACCCCCAAATCTAACTCCACCCTCCTCAGGCCCGGCTGATGGGAACTGTATCCGCAAGGTCTCCTCTGCCCATAGTCCCAGGCCCCTTCAGCTGGGACACAGGGATCTGCAGCCGGCCGCCACTAAACCCCAATTTCTCATCACAAAACTCACCACTTACCATAGTGAAATGGGTCGGTCTCCTGAGAAACTGTGGGAAGGCAGGCAGAGAAAGAGAAAGTAAAAGATTTCAGTACTGGTTTCTTAATGAGGGTCCCAGATGGGGCCGCCGTACCAATGGTTTCTGAGGAAAAGTTAGATAAAGAAGCCCTTTGCTCTAGCAGCTAGAATCCAGATGACCCTGCCTCTTGGCGGGCACAGGAGTGAAGAGTAGCCCAGAGTCTAGATTCCAACCCCACCTCCCGCTCTCCACAGCTTGGTACCTTACTTTGTGCAGTGCACAACCAATCCATCTGTGCATGACAGTTTGGGTCTGAGGCAACCCAAGGACTCAGTTCCTGCAAAAATATGTACATTTGCAAATGTTGCCAGGGGTTAAGAGACTCCAGTTTCACTAGTAGACTGCTAAGTGTATCATCTCCCCCCTAAAACTTCTCATCATCTGAATGTTCTAAAAGGCACATTTTGCCTTTTCTTTTCCCCAAAAGCTGTAGATATGTCTGTTCCTCTCACCTACTCACTCCTACCTACCACAATTCCAACACAGAGGCGCCCTCCTTTAACTTTATTATATATGATAAACACCATCTTATGTTGCATAAAACCATTATTATTTCTAATACATTGATTTTTTAAAAGATCACTATATCACTCTCTAGCAGGCCCAGTAACGTCTCCATTATGAGACTTCTTGTTACTGTGTTTGGCATATTGAATACTCTCGGTAGCTTGCCAGGCTGTCCGAGAGGGGCGGAGGAATCGAACCTGGCTTGGCCAGGCTGGCTGCGCGCAAGGCAAACTCCCTACAGCACAGCGGTAGGGCGTTTGCCTTGCATGCAGCCGACATGGCCGACCCGAGTTCGATTCCTCCGCCCTTCTCGGAGAACCCGGCAAGCTACCGAGAGTATCTCGCCCCCACGGCAGAGCCTGGCAAGCTCCCCGTGACGTATTCGATATGCCAGACACAGTAACAACAAAGTCTCCAATAGAGACGTTACTGGGCCCCGCTCGAGCAAATCGATGATCAACGGGAGGGCCTTTACTTACTTTACTTACTTATATCACTCTCATCCCATTGTTTATTGATTTGCTCGAGTGGGCACCAGTAACATATCCATTCGTCCCTGTCGCATGCTAGTGTAGCCCAATGGCATCTTGGGGGCTCTTTCAGGGTCAAGGGAATGAGGACCATCACTATTATTGTTTTTGGCATATCAAGTACGCCACGGGTAACTTGCCAGGCTCTGCCGTGCAGGCAGGATACTTTCGGTAGTTTGCCGGGCTCTCTGAGGGGGTTTTAAAAGATATTTCCAAATTTAAGATTTCAAAATTGCTGTTGTGCTTTTCAGTACATGGGTCTGCATGTACTCAGCTCTTCCATGTGAAGCACACCCCTCTAGTAGAAAGCTCACCCCGATGTCACACGTTAGCACATGTATGGAGTCACTTGTCCTCGTACCCCCAATTATGCTCTTCAGGACAGCTTTATCCACTAGCCTTCCGAAGCCCATCCTGATGACTCCCTGATGCTTTCAATAACTCTAGAACATTCTCTCTTGTCCAGAGCAGAATTTTGCAAAGCCAGAGCCACTAGGTGAGCACACCAGGAGAACCAGAGGGGTGGCAAGAGTGGCCATCAGGTGGCACTCCTCTGGGCTCACGAATGGAGAGTTGCTTTTGAGTAGGGCCAGGTGATCAATTCTGGCCAATGAACTGTAAAGAGATGTGTCACTGCACTTTCTGATTAGAGAAGTAAGTACACATGCCAAACTCTCCTTCACCTTTGCTTTGGGACAGGCACACATGAGCTGGTGACCACGTCACTTTTCCTTGGTAAGAAGAGTCCCCTGGCTGATGTGTGATGGACAGAGGGCGAGAGACTGGTAACGCTGAGGGTGATCCTAGGGAGTGCGCTGATTACCCTAGCAGACTCTTGCCTAGACTGATTGCTAGCAGACAAGGCCTGGAATAACAGGACCCTCACACTGTCTTCAAAGAGGAAGTGTGGGTGGTGCCAGCCCCCATGTGTGTTTCACGCCTCCCAATCCTTGCTAAGCTCCACCTTTTCCCCAAGGTAGAAAACAGGCCCTGGGCTCCAAACCTTCTGCGGTTGGTGATGATAACCGGGTTGAATTCCACGACATGGTTTGGTTTGCTTCCTTATTTGTTTATCTCACCAGCTGACAGCACTGGCCCTGAGCCCACACTCTCTTCTAAGTGGCCGTGTGGCTATGACCACATCTCAGACCCGTGGCAGGTCCCTGATAGAGGTGCTATCTTCACTTCAGTTCACGAAAAAGGAGCGCGCGCTCACTGAGCCAGAAGAGTGAAGTCACTTGTTAAGATTATTACGGGGGAGGGTGTGGGTCGTTCAGTGGGTAAAGCGTTTGCCTTGCATGCAGCCCTTAGGTTCAATCCTTAGCACCACATATGGTCTCCAAATCCTTCCAGGAGTGAATCTCCCTGAGCACAGAGCCAGGAGTAAGCCCTGAGCACAACTGGATGTGCACCCCCCCCAAAAAAAAAGATTATTATTTGGGGGCCCTCTGCCATCAGGATGCTATCCAGCAGTACAGGGAGGCTGTGTGCAGCCTGGGATCGAACCCGAGGCCTTGTGCCGGCCAGGCATGTGCTCCAACCGTGTGGGCTGTTTCCCTGGGTCTCTGTAAGACTGTTTTTCTACTTGCCTCCAATTTAAGGCCAATACCTCTGCTTTTCCTATTTGTGGTGGTGATCGAAAGGAATTTTTTTTTAAGAAGTCAATTTCTTAAAGGGGAAATATTCAAGAAATAGCAGTGTGAGGGACATTTGGATCGGGTGAAAATTACCAAGGTGGTTTTCAACTCAAAGGCCTCAAGATGGGGAAACATTATTTTAGTCATCTGTGCTCTGTCTAAGCTCCCCCAGCAGATGGGGAGCACATTTGTTTGACTCATTGCAACTGTTCACGCTGGCATTTACCAAAGTCTCTCAAAGAAGTTTTCTGAAATGAATGGAAGGTGGCTGCGAGCCCCTTGCAAGGCTGCTGAGGTGGCCCCAGAGGTGCCGCTCTGGGGCTCACCTGTGCTCACACACCTCCTGCTGCGGTGGCCCTCTGCACCCCGCCCCATACACACACGCGCCTCTTCTGAACCTGCTGCCCCAGCAGTTTTGGTGGTGAGGTGAGGTCAGGCTAAGAGTGGTGCCTCCGGGCAGGAAAAGGAACGTGCCCCAGTGCTGGCCAGTTGCCAGGAGGACCTCAGCAAGGTGGTGGTTGCTATGGTAATTAGGGCATCATGAGAGGCTTTAAAAAAAATTAAAAGTGGCGAGCATCCCCACTGAGGCTGAGCGGTGTCTTGTGAGGGGTCTGGGAAATGGCGCTTCTGGACCCATCTGGGCTCTTCAGTTTCCTTTGCCCCTGCAGAACTGACCAGGAAGGCCAAGAAGTCGGGAACCTTCTTTGGGACAGGGACCCAGGCCTATGTTGTATGGGCCCTGGCCCCTTTTCGCCCCTTTCTCTCCCTCCTCCTTCTCTGCCCCACAATTTCTTTTTAATTCATTTCCTTAAATCCTGCTGCAAAGCACAAGTTGCTTTTCCCTCTGGGGATTCCCCCAGACCCGAGGTCTCCTCTCCAGCCCGGATGGCGCTGGGGGAGGGTGGGGGAGGGGCGGAGGCATCTGTCCTCCCGCCTCTTCCCGTCTGCTGCCATCGATCCTGCTAACCATCATCTCTGCAAAAAGAAGCACTGGGCTCCCGCCAGGCCTGCTGCCTCAGCCCTGCCCCCCTCCCTAGGGTGGCTTCCAGCCTCTGCAGCCCCCCCCCCTCCCCCCCCCCCCCCCCCCCGCCCTGCTTTGAATTCTGCAGATATGGCTCAGTGCTGCGCCCCGTCTGCCTGCCGGGAAAGGGGGCAGGGAAGGAGGGCTCTGGTGGAAGTGGGGTCTTCTTCGCCACCAGCAGCTCCTCTCTCTCCCCAGCTCTGCCCTCTCTCAGTGCTGGGAGCCGCCCCCCACCCCCCGGCCTGCCCACTCCCCCACCTGCCTTACACATTAGATACCCTCCTCTTTGCTCCTCTGCTGGGACCGTTTTAGGAAAGGGGGCTATGCGGGGGGTGAGCGTGTAAGTGGGTGCATAACTAGGTTAATAGGTATGAAATGTAAATCGATGTGAGGCTTCAGGGGAAGGGGGGTGGGTGCACCCAACACAGCCTCCTGAACCAGCCCAGTCCCAGGAGGTGGCTGGGAAGGTGGGTCCAGCCATTGCTCGGCTGCCAGCCAAGGGGCTCACTGCAGTGGCTGCCCCACCCCAAGCCACCTTCTCCCCAGCTCTCTTCCCTCTCTCCGTGGGGCCATATCTCCCCCTGGTGTCTCTCTCCGTCACTCTCCTCCCGGGCTGGGTTGGTGGCTCTGATTTTCTCTGGGTGTCTGCATTTGCGCTCCCCACCTCAGATCCTCGCTCTCTACGTCTCGGGTTCTCTCCCCGCCAGGATCGGACACCCTGTCTCCATCCCTCTGGTTCTCGACATCGCTATCTGTCTGCTTCTGTCTTATTCTCTCCATCTTTCTAGCGTTTCCCTGCTGGGTTTCCCTTCCCTGTTTCACCCCCTTCCTGCTGAAACTGACAGTGATTTCAGGAAATACCCACCCTGGGAGCGGGAACAGGAGGAAAAACGGGGGCGGTGCTATACCCCCTCCCCACGCCCACCCTAGGGGCTGGAGACCCTCTTTGGCGCAGTCCCACCTCCCACCCTGCAAGCCCCTCTCCTGCTGCTGCCACCGCGGCGATGGACCAGTCACCCGGTTGCCATAGCTACTGTCGGCGCATCCTTCCTCCCGGGACTGCTGCTCTCCAACCCCGGGCTGAGGAACCGTACCACCGGGAGGGGGTGTCCAAGAGTCCCCGAGGGCCACCAAGGGGTGCCCTGCCTAGCCTCTGCCCATAGGTGAAATAGCCCACCCCCACCCCCACCCCCGCCTCCCCGCACCTCTCTCTTTCCAATGCTGGAATCTGCCCAGATGCTCGCACCTAAGACCTAAATCCCAGAGCATCCCCACCCCCAGGCCCTCTCCCCAGGCGACGCTCACCCATTGTGGGGACCTGGGTCGGGGTCGCCATGCTGGGCTGGAGCAGGGGGGCGACTAGATGCCGAGATGGTGCAGGCGCGGCCGCAGCAGCTGGAAGCGGACGGACTGGTGTCGGGGGGAGATGGGGGAGAGCCCTGGTGTTGGGGGGGCCCCGTAGCCAATGGGGGCCCGGAGAGCCCGCCCCCGTGCAGGCCACCCCCACCCCGCCCCCGCCCACTGCCGACGTCCCGCCCCTTCCCCAAGGGTGGGGGCGCCTCCTGCCGGCCGAGGGGGCGCCCGGCGCACGCCGAGGGACTGGTGGAGCCACCAAGCGCGGTCAAGAGAGAAGAGCTCGTTTTATTGGGAGTCGGGGGGCAGGAAACGGGCAGGAGGCGGCTGGGTTGGCGGTGGGCGCGGGGCGCGGGTGGGCGGTGTCAGGTGCTGGCGAATCCTGCGCGCAGGAGACTGGGGGCCGAGGAGCGGGAGAGCCCCCCAGCCCGGCACCTGCGCCCGCAGCCAGTGCGGCCGCAGCCCCCGGCCGGCTCCAGCGCGCCAGGTGCTTCTATCGCCGGCGACTCGACAGGCCTGGGGGTGGACACACAGAGTCTGGGGTCAGGAGCGCCTCTGGCTCCGGCAAAGAGGGGGGTAGGGGATGGCGGTAGGAGAGCTCTTCGCCCGGGAGGTGGGAGGGGGTTGTTTAAGTCAAGTCCCTTCCTCCACCCGTCCAGGAAAGGGGTTCTTGGAACCAGCACCCCACACACTCCCCGAACTCACGACGGATGGAGCTGCGGAAAGTTCCCTCTTCCTCATCAGGCTCCCCGGTCCTGGGAAAGGAAAGGCAGGAGGAACGTGGGGCGGGGGACATGCAGGGAGAGAGCGCTCCCAGGAACGCCTGCAGCCCCTCATTTCATGGCGGGGTGTAGGAGCCCCGGAGGCAAGACGGGCGCCCCCAGGAGCAGTTTGTCTGGAGGCGCTGCAAAGCGGGGGGGCCAGTGAGGAGCTCCCCGAGTATCGGTGCGCGAGGTCTGGCTCAGAGAACCTGAACGAAGCGCAGGGCGAACCTCCATCTCCAGGAGGGTCGGTGTGGGCAAGGGGGCTTACCTCCCCGAGCCTCCGTTTCCTCCTCTGCAAAAGGAGGGCTGAGAACAGCGGGGGGCCTCCCCCTCCCCCGGACAGAGATGAGGGACAAATACCACCAAAGGTAACGCGGCACATGGGACACGCCCAGTGAACACGAGCTATTATTTATAATAAGGGCTGACGAGACGAGCTCTCCCGGGAAGCAGGAGAAGGTGCTGCCTGCGCCGTAGTCTTTATGTAAAGATGAAGCCAAGAGCCAGGAACCGGGACCCGCCGCTAAAGTGGGCCGCCCAGAGGTGATCTCATTTCGCAGCATCTCTCTCTCTCTCTCTCTCTCTCTCTCTCTCTCTCTCTCTCTCTCTCTCTCTCTCTCACACACACACACACACACACACACACAAACACACTCTCCACGCTTTGCGATTTTACATTTATGGGGCTCTGGGAACACAACTGCCGCCTCCCGCACCGGGCTGGGAGCTCTGCCAGGCAGGGAGGACCGTTGCTTCACCGCTTGGTCCCCAGGGACGGACTTGGGGCTTGGCCGGAGTAAGTGCTTAACACGGGCTGCGGCTTGGGTGGACTTCCAGCCTCGCTCCCCGCGCACCTCTAGAACGGGAGTGGATGAATGAGGCCTCTTACCTCTGCTGCTGGTTGAATTTGCACCGGCACCTTCGGCCTGCAGGAGGGGGAGGGATGGGGAAGAGCGAGGGTGGGCTGAGATGCCGATGGAGGAGGGCGCGGGGCGGGGCGGGGCGGGGAGTGAGGGCGTGGCAGAGCCGGCGGGGGCGTGGCATGGGCGTGGCAGGGTCGGTGGGGGCGTGGTATGACTGGAGAGGGCGTGGCCGAGGCGAAGCGGGGGCGTGGCAAAGACGGCGGGGGCGGGGCATGGCCGGGGAAGGCGGGGCATGGACGGGGTAAGAACAGGGGCAGGGCCGAGGGTGGACGGGAGGCGGACCCAGAACTCGAGCCTGGAGTGCAAAATTCGCAGTAGCGCGACTGAAGGTGGGGCCGGGTACTCACTCAGGATGATGAAGATGCCCAAGGTAAAGAGGATCCCGGCGATAGTGAGGCCCCCGATTCTCAGCGATTGGTAGTCTGCGGGCCGCGGGGAAGGCAGGGAGGGAAGATGGACAGATAGGAGAGAGGCAGAATTGGGAGGAGGGGGTGGGAGGTAGGAAAGGAAAGGCGAAAGATGAATGAGAGGGGAGGAAGGAGCAGTGAGGGAAGGAGCGTGATTCGGAAGAGATGAGTGTCTAAAGGAGGGGTGGGGGCAGGGTTGAGAGCAGGGAGGAAGGAGGATGAGGGGAACAGGAGAGGGGAGAATGGGCACCCGGCAGCAGAGGGTGGGCTCAGATGCTGACAGGCAGGGTGGAGAGATGACTCAGAGGGATAGAGTACATGTTTTGCATGCAAGGCCCAGGTCAGAACCAGTCACCACCCAATCCCCATCACTGCCCAGAGTACCACTGGTACTCTGCACACCCCTGCCCCCCAATAAACAAGCCAAAAAAGTGTCGGAGAGAGTTAATGGAGAGAGAGAAGCAGCCAGGGAAATGAAGACCAAGCCTGCGAGCCAGACCAAGAGAAATACATTGCAGAGACGAGTCAGCGCGGAAGTCAGAGAGCTAAAGAGACAGCGGGAGAAGTGAGGACAGGCAAACCCGGACCCCCTTCCCAAGGCAGATGCCTCTCTCTGCCTCACCATATGTGAATGGGTCATGTTCCGGGGGAGCTTCTGGAAAGAGATAGAGAATTCAGCTTATGGTGCTTCCCCGGGCCCTGGACCCTTTGGGGCCTTTGTCTTCCTGCTCTGAGTCTGGGATCAGCTGGACCCTGAGCTCTCTGGACTCCAGCCCCATCCTGGTACTGTGCTGGGTGGGGCCACTGTCCACCGGAAGCACCCCTAAACACCCTTTGTCTGACCTGGGGCATCTTCTCCCCTGCCAGAATGCCAGCCTGTGCCGCCTGACTCACATAAGACCCATTTTCCTGGCGCCCCAACTAATTTAGTTCTGTCTCGCTCCTGCAGCCGGGTCCTCATGAACAACCTCCCCAGCTCCTCCCCAGGGCGAGGTGAGCTAGGAGGGGCTGCCTCCCAAGACTCACCTGCACTGGCCACGGTGAGCCCCACACAGAGAACCAAGATGTGGCCCAGCGATGCCATTGTCCTGGGGGGCACCAAGAGTCAGCGAACATGGACCCTTGTGCCCCCCACCTGGTGAACCTGAACCTAAGTGGTTAAATCCAGAGACTTGATTCCCCAAGCGCCAGTGTGGCCACCCTGGGGAAACCAGGAGCACCCCCTGCTTCCTGGGGTCACAGTGGCAACAAAACAACCCACACGGTGTGTGGGGGGTGGGGTGGGGAGGAAGGTCCCAGAGCAAAGCAGCACAGAAGGCAGGAGGAGATGCCGTCCGCAGGCCGCAGGCTCCCCAAAGGCGGCCCCAGGTCCCCCACCCCTACCTTGCAGGAGAGCAGGATGCTTGGCCCACCCCAAGAGAGCAGACACAGCCACCCACTCGAGACCTTGGCAGGACACGCCCCAGGGCCCACCTGCCCACACGCCACAGCCTCGGCCTCCCTTCGTCGGAGCAGCCCCGCTCGCTTGCCCTCGGCAGCCGGCCCGCTCTCGCCTGACCCTGGGTATAAATATCTCCCACTTCACCCTGGAGGAATTTGCCTCCACAGGCCGCCATGGAAACAGCCTTCCTCCCCCCTCGGGGGTCAAGCACAGCCCAGTGAGGGCCAGCGGCTGGAGCCCCACAGCACCCTCTCACCAAAAGGCCACCCCCTCTCTGCCCTCCAGGCCAGGAGAGAAAAGAAAAGCATCCCCTCTGCCCTTGGCTGGGGGACATGTTTGCCTGGGGGTGACCTGAAGGCCAGGCCGGTGTGGCAGGCGCAAGTGCAAACACACACACACACACACACATACACAAATACACACAGACACACACAAACAGATTCACACACACAAATACACACAGATACACATACACAAACACACAGATTCACACACAGACACACACAGACGCACAGACCCACACACAAAGACACACACACAGATCACACACACACAAACACACACAGATTCACACACACAAATACATACAGACACGCACAAACACACACAGACTCTCACAGACCCACACAGAGATACACAAACACACACAAATACAGAACATACACAAACACACACACAGATTCACACAGACACACACAAACATACACAGACTCACAGACCACACACAGAGACACATACACAAACACACACAGATTCATACACACAATCACACACAGACTCACAGAGACACACAGAAACACACACAGACACACACACACACACACACACACTCTCACAGACACGCATGCACGCATGCACGCATGCACACATGCAAGATGTGGGACTGGGCTGGAGACAACACCCAAACTTCTGCTTTTGGTTTGGAGTCAGACGGGGCTCAGCCACTTCACTTCTCTCTGGGCTTCCGGTACCCGCAAACAGTGATGAAACCCAGCCTACACTTGTGCGTGTCCCACACCCACACCTAGCCAGGGTACACACGCAGCCACGGGGGGTGGAGGAGTGGCACCCACATTCCCACCCCAGAGGGAACCCGGCTGTCCCCACCCCACAGCGTCTTTTCCCCTCGGGTCTGGCCTGCCTGGGCTGGCCACTCCTGCTCCCAGAATAGGCAGCCCAGCCAGGCAAGGGCTAAGGCCTGGAAAGGACGGGCGGGGACGCTCACCCCAATCAAGTAGTCCCCTGCTGAAAGAAAGCGGGCCCCCCAAACGTCTGCTGTGCCCCTGGCCAGGCACTTTGGACCCCCTGGCCCAGAGCTGGATGCCCCGCCCCCCGCGGTCTCCCCTTCCAGCCCCACCCAGCCTTGCCCGCCCCAACCAGCAGCTGTAACTGGAGCCGGGGCTGGAGGGGGGCCAGGGGGCGGCCCCCAGCCCAGACTGCCCTGGCCCGCTAGGTTAACTCTCTCAGCGCAGAAGGCAGCTGGCTTGGTAGAAAGGAGAGATGGATTGTAGACATACGTATGCCGGTACAGGCCTGTGCCCCTTGGGTCTGCTTCCGAGAGCCCCCGGAGAAGTGAGGTCAGAGAGGAGTGTCAGGGACCTGCCTCTGCTCCCTAGGAATCAGGCCCAGGATCTGTGTTCACTCAGTGCCTAGGGGCTCACTGACCTCCGACCCCAGTATCCATGGAGCTCTAGCACCCCAGGCTGGTTGGGAGGCGGGGGCATGTGTAGGGTCTGCTGCAAGTGAGGGGGCCGAGGGGAATACATGAAAACCCAGGTAGAGACAGGCCCAAGCTCACATCTGATGCACATATAAGTCTCAGGAGACCCAAAGAGGGATGCAACCAGCATTCTCTGTTGTTATTGTTGTTCTAGGGCCACACCCGGTGGCACTCAAGGCTTATTTCTGGCTCTGCACTCAGGGATCGTCATGAGGGCTCAAGGGACCTTATGGAATGCCAGGGATCGAACCCAAGTTGGCTGCGTGCAAGGCAAATGTCCTGCCTGCTGTACTATCACTCCGGCCCTGCAACCAACACTCTCAGCCCATCGCAAAACAGAGACAAACCACCCCTTCAGATGACTAATGGAGACGCTGAGACTTTCCACCGTTACGGGCGGCCACAAAGAGGTGTGCTCCCATACTCACGAATGTGCACATGAAATCCCTGAATCGCCCAGAAATCCACTCAGAGGCACAAACACACAGACCCACACACGAAGGCCTCATGGCGCCCTCAGACCCTGCTCGAGTTTATGGGCACACACTGAGGCTGAACGCTCAGGACACAGCCCCATTCAGCCACGGCAGAGACCCCTATGTCTAGGAACCCAGTCATGACACACAGGCCCAGGCCCTCACCAGCCTCTCCTCCCTGGCCTCCCATGACCTCCGTGTCCCCTTCTCTCCAGAGGCCATCATATTGCTGTCCTCACGGTCAGGCCTGGTTCAGAGGCTCCAGTGCCACAGAAGCCTGGCACCAGGTGTGGGCTTTGCCGGTTGTGATCTGGGGCAGCCTCTCAGCACCCAGTTCCCATCCTATAAAAAGGATAAATCACTAGGTCATGGGACTACTGGACTGGGCCTCTGACCCTGCTTGTCTTATCAATTCCATTTTAGAGACAGGAAAACAGAGGGAGGAAGGGGGAAGTGGAGTGGCCGTTGCCCCAGGTCCCCCTGGTGGTCAGGGGCAGAAAATGTCAACCATCAGAGGCAAGAGCCCAGGGCCAGCTCTGAGGGACCAGAGAGGAGTGCAGCGGACACACCCTCAGGGAAAAACACCCTCATTTGCACACACCCCACCCGTGCATTGATACAGGCAGGTATGCTCATGGGCGCACACGTGAGTGTATGCACGCACAAGCATGCCCGTAGCCTCAAAGGATGCAGACACCTGCAAAAGGCTCCCGGAGGCCTGTTTGCGCTAGAGTCTCTGCACCCCAGGGCCACCAGCAGGCCCAAGTTAATGATAACCCCTGTGTTTATGCAGTGCCAGGAAGTGGGGCAAAGGGAGGCAGAGGGAGCTGACGGAGCAGCCCCCCAGGCCTGTTTTACTCTGTCCCCAGCTTCCTCCCTCATGGGACAGCTCCAGGCACCTGCAGAGCAAGTGACTCAGTCACTTTCCTGTGAATGATGTTGGTCAGTCTGACACTGGCCAGTCCCCCAGGCTGGGGTTCCCTTCCGTGACAAAGACAGGACAAGAGCCTGCACCTCAGGGGAGGTTGCCCCCATCGGCTCACTGAGCAGCCTGCAGCCCTGGCAAGTGGCGCTGCCCTGGCTCCACTTGGCTTATGGGAAACTGAGGGTTGGGGTAGCAGAAGGCCGTGGAGCTCAGCTCCGCAGGACCCTGTCTGCCCATGTAGGGCTGGGAAGCCTCTTGTTCTCCCATCCACGTGTCCGGCTGGCTTCTGCTGCAGTAGTACAGACCAGTGACTGTGTTCTGATCTGCCTGGAACCAGGAAACAAATCACTGCACCTTCCCATGCCTCAGTTTTCCTGCTTGTGGAGGTCAGTGATTCTGTTCCCTTTAGGGGATTATTGTGAGGACTGAGCAGGGCCACATAAAGGCTGACCCACAGGGAGTGCTCAGTGTGCCTGATGCTACTATTTCAGGCAGGGGAACAAACACTCTGTGTGTGTGTGTGTGCGCGCGCGCATGCGCATGTATGTCTGGGATGAGGGGGTATGATTTATCTTATTTCATGGCCAGAATCCATCCAAATTGCCAAACTCCTAGTCCAAATGAAAATGATCAATATCCGTGGCTTTAGATCTCCAGTGAGAAAATGCAAAATCAGAGAGAGGCTCTGGAGTCAGAGCCCTGCCTTTGCCCAGCTGCATAACCTAGACCTCAAATTACTTGACCTTTCCCCTCAGCGCCCCTCCATCTGTAAAACAGCCGCAGCAGAGCGCAGGCTGCAGGGGCTGGGGTGAGGTCAGGATGAGCTCATCGACGGCGCCAATTCTAGGACACTCTGGGGGCAGAGCCAGCATGGAAGAAGGGAGTGGCACCCCATGGTCATTATTTCTTGGGTTGACTCCCTAGCCCCAGTGGATGGGAGGCTCACAAAGGGTTAACTTCCGGGGTGTCGAGGAAGGGTGTGGGTTCGGGGCAGGCCTGGCGTGCGGAGTCCCGCCACCAGAGGGAGCAGCTGCATCTGAGCTGGCCCCCTCCAAGTCTGAGTTGGCGCCCACCACACCCTCCTGGGGGCAGAGGAGGGGGCCGGCTGGGGAGTGGCCAGATGGGCCCCAGCCTCCAGTGGTCTGTCCTCCCCTCCCCCCTCCTGCCCGCAGAGTCATCCGGTCCCCACCCTAGTGACAGCCTCCTCTGAAGCAGTGAATGGGGTGGTGTGGGGAATGGAGGGAGGGGGGTCCACGGGGACGGGGGGGGGGGACGGGGGGGCGGACCCTCCCCTCCCCTGTGGCCCTCCATGCCTCTGCCCAGGACACTCTCCCTATATGGCCTCTGACCCCTGTGTCACTGGGCCCAGCCGGTGCCCAGTGAGCCCCTTTCCCAAACCTCCGGGGAAAAGGGGCGTGGGAGGAGGGGAAGAAACTGACAAGGAGCTGGGGAGGGGGGTAGGGAGGCAAGAAATAAAGACACCAGAACAGAGGGAGACGCAGGCAGAGGGGCACACTCAGAAAGCGAGGCTGGCAGCCCCGGGAACCCGAGAAACAGACCGAGACAGACAAAGAGACGGAGAGAGACGGGAGAGAGAGACCAGAGACGGCGAGACAGGGAGCGAGACACAAGCCGAGCGCCCCGAGCGGAAGGACAGGCTGAAAGGGAGCCGGCAAGGAGGCGAGAGCCCGGGGGGCGCGTGCCAGCTGGCGGGATGGAGGGCCGCCTGGCATGGGCCATGTAGCGGCAGCAGGTTGCCGAGCTGGGTGGGCAGAGCGAAGCGGGTGCCTCCGCCGGGGGTGAGGGGGCATGGGAGGGGCAGGCATGCTGCTGCTGCTGCTGCTGGCCGGGGCCACCGCCTGGAGACCCCCGAAGGGGAAGTGTCCTCCCAGCTGCTCCTGCTCCAAGGACAGTGCCCTGTGCGAGGGGTCCCCAGACCTGCCAGAGAGCTTCTCCCCAACTCTGCTGTCACTGTGAGTGTCAGGCCCTCCCTGGGCCTGGGGAAGGGGGCGGGGAAGTGGGGGGGGAAGGGGGGCCCTGGGACTGGGGGTAGGGGCCGGCCACAGCTGGAGAGGTGGGCAGCAAAGGATGCTGGGAGCCCTGGGATTCAAAAAGGAGTGAGAGGCGGGGACCCCCGCCCCCACAGGTGGGCTGAGGGATGCCAGGATCCTTACCACCAGGAGGGCAAAGGCCTGGGCCCCCTGGGGTGTGGGGAAATGCACCCAGGGTGGGGGTGACAAGCCAAGGCCTCCCAGACAGGAGTGGCTCTGGCGTGGGTTCTGGTGGCTTGCTCCCAGCCACCCCTGCGTGTGTCCCCAGCTCGCTGGTCAGGACTGGAGTCACCCAGCTGAAGGCCGGGGGCTTCCTGAAGCTGCCCTCGCTGCACCTGCTGTGAGTGGAGCCGTGGGAAAAGAGGGAGGGAGGGTGGGGTGCGCAGGCGACTCTCCTGTGCACGTGCACTGGACCCTCCGTTCACGCGCACGACCCTCTGTTTATGCGCACGCGACCTTCTATTCTTGCGCACGTGACCCTCCTGTGCACGCGCACGCGACCCCCCTGTTCATGCACACGTGACCCTCCATTCACATGCGCGCGACCCTCCGTTCACGCGCCACGTGCACACTCCCCCTCCCGGGGCACATGCTCCTGGGATCGGCAGCGGGGTGGGGTGTGCCCATCTCAGACAGGGCCAGGGACTCTGCAGGCGTCTCATTGTCACTCCCTCGCCAGCCTCTTCACGTCCAACTCCTTCTCTGTGATCGAGGATGATGCATTTGCCGGCTTGTCCCACCTGCAGTACCTGTGAGTGAGGCCAGGAGCTGGCGGAGGTGGGGGGTGGGGGGGAGGTGGTGACCCGGGGCAGGAAGTGGGGGTCCTGGGAGGAGAAAGAGGGAACCAACTCTTTCACTGAGTACGCGGGGAGGGACTTGGTTGCACCGGACAAGACTCTCTCCTGGTGAGGCAAGAACCCTCGGAGTCTGGGTTCCTGATGGCAGCCTGCTCACTTCACCTCGCCGTACTTTGACCCCTCCCCCCCACAAAGGGCCTGGACAGCCCAGAGTGCTCAAACCTTCCCTGCCCTGTAGAGCTCAGGGTGGGGAGCAAGGGAACAAGAATGTTAGTTTTGGTTTGGGGGCCACACCCATTGGTGATCAGGGTTTAGTAACCTGGCTCTGTACTCAGAGATCACTTGGGGGAACCATATGGAGGACCAGGCATCGAACCCAGGTCAGCAGCATGCAAGGCAATGTCCCACCCGCTGTACTATGGCTCGCACCTCAGAGGCAGAAAGATTTTGAACAAGTTAGGTGATGAGCCTCCAGCAGCCTCCGGCATAGGTGCTGAGAACCATGGTGGCAGGAGTCCCACTGCTGATGCTCACAGGGAGGGAAGTGGCAATATTGAGAACAACGGACTGGGATGACGATCCTAAATTCACAGAGGACCCAACGGTGACGGTGCCGTTAGTATTACGGATAACAAAGCCCAAGTTGGTGCTCCTGGTCCGCAGTGGGAATGGCGGTCTCTGTCTGTGATAATGTCAGAGTTGTGGGTGTGGCTGATGGCAGGGTTGGCGTTGATGGTGGTGATGGATGCGGGTAGGATGTGAATGTCGGGGTCGTGGCGGGGTCGTGAGGATGGGGTTTGGCTGGGACAGTGCAGGTGGTGCTGTGGGTAGAGGCAGGGGCTGGATGAGGAGGAAAGCGTGGGCCGTGCTGGGGCTGGCGCCGCTGCTGGTGATACCAGCGGAGGTGGGGGGAGGGGGTGTCCACTACGAGGGCCTTGTTCGTTGGTGACACATGTCCGTGTTGCAGGGTGAGCGATGGCAGCGGGAATACTGTGGGTGGTGATTGGGGCTTTGATGTCATTGGTGATGGTGCAGATCCAGAGTGGACACTGCTTAGAGGGACTGTGTGTGTGTGGGGGGGGGATGGGTGATGCTGCGAGTGGCGCTCATGGCGCTCAGGAGGAGGGTGACAGTTGGCCACTGGGCCACGTTCTTGGCTCCTGTGACTTCAGACGGGGACCTTGGCCAGGAGAGGATTCTGGGGAATCTTCACAGGGGTTGGACAGATGTTGGAAGGGGAGAGATCTAGCGGGCCCCTGGCACCTGTGGTGTGAGGTCCCTCATGTCGAGGGGACCTCCGCAGGAAGCCAGGGCCCCCTCACTCCCCCTTTCTCTCTGCAGCTTCATCGAGGACAATAAGATCGGCTCCATCTCTAAGAACGCCCTTCGCGGACTGCGCTCTCTCACACACCTGTGCGTGACCGGGAGGGCCAGGCCCTGGCCCATCTCAGCCCTCCCCACAGGCACCCTCCTCCCCCTCCCCCCCAGAGCCTGATGCCCCCTCTCCCTCCACCAGGAGCCTGGCCAATAACCACCTCGAGACCCTCCCCAGGTTCCTGTTCCGAGGCCTGGAGACTCTGACTCACGTGTGAGGCTCTACTGGGGGACCGGTGGGGGAGGGGGATAGAACTTGGATATATTTGCAAGGGACCTGTGCCCACTACGGCTCCGCCCAGCGAGTGCAGCTGCAAAGTTCGCACACGTTTTCCACCCACCCTGGGGCACTGCGCTGCCGGCCTGGGGAGGCGGCAGGGAGAGTGTGGCCTTCGGGGCCGGGACGCCTGTCACAGCGGCTCCGACCTCTTGTCCCAGGGACCTCCGAGGGAACCCATTCCAGTGTGACTGCCGTGTCCTCTGGCTGCTGCAGTGGCTGCCCACCGTGAATGCCAGTGTGGGCACCGGGGCCTGTGCTGACCCAGCTGCCCTGGCCCACATGCAGCTTCACCACCTGGACCCCAAGATATTCAAGTGCAGAGCCACAGGTGGGGGCTTTCCTGGTGGGAGGGGAGGGATGCGGGGTTCTCAGGAGAAGGTGGGAGATCGGGGTGGGGGAGAATGGAGAGCAGGGCTGAGAGGCTTCTCCCTCAGCACCCTGACCGACCTGCCTCCTCTGGGCTCTGAGAACCGGAGCCAGCAGCACCTCCCCCGAGCCTCCGTTTTCTCATCTGTAAAATGAGCACAATAAACAGTCACAGAGGCTTGTGTGAGAATTCCGTGATGTGGCCACGCCTTGTCCACACTCACACTCGCTGTGGCCCTGGCGGCTGAGGCTTCCGCCCGCATTTTGCTTCTTCGTGCATCAGTCTTGGCAGTGCTCTGCGGGCATAGAGCCATGCAGGCAGACAGTGTTTGGGGCGGCGGGTACCTCGCCCTCACAGATCCTGCCGTCCAGCGGACAGCAGGGAATGACGGCTCAGACAGCGATGCCCAGAAAGAGGGGGACAAGGGCGGGGAGCCCAGAGTCAGAGAGGGACTGGACAGGCTCCTGGACAGGAGAACATTGGAGCATAGTCACCACCATCATCGCTGTCATCACCGGCTCCTGGAACAGGGCGTTTAACTGAGGACACCCTCTTTATCCATCATTCCCGGGGATCCAGTCTGCCCTGGGCGAGTGACTAAGGTGTAGTGGTTGTTCTGGAGAGACAGGGAGGGATGGGGGAGGCTGGGTTGGGTCCTGCCCATCAGGGGAGATATCTCTGAAGAGGCTCCCCATTTCTGAACTGGATGGAATCAGCTGAAGGACTCGGGGGGGGGGGCATCCTGTAGCCCCAAGGACGTGCCACTCAGAGGAGACCAGTGCAGAGCAGGTGGAGGGTGTAAGGAAGGACAGGTGAGGTAGGGGTGGCCAGACCTGAGAGCTCAGGATGGGAGCTGGGGTGGGGTCTGAGCAGGGAAGAGACAAGACTGGATAGCATTTCTCTCTCTCTCTCTCTCTCTCTCTCTCTCTCTCTCTCTCTCTCTCTCTCTCTCTTTCCTTTTTGGGTCACACCTGGCAGTGCACAGGGGTTACCTCCTGGCTCTGCACTCAGGAATTACTCCTGGTGGTACATGGGGGACCATATGGGATGCTGGGAACCGAACCTGGGTCGCGTGCAAGGCAAACGCCCAAATGCCCTACCCACTGTACTATTGTTCCAGCCCCTGGATGGCATTTCTCAAATGCTCACCTTTTTTGGGGGGGCGGGGGGAGGGCAGGGGACAAGGGGAAATCTTGGTGGTTGGGCTCCTGCTTCAACTCTGCCACCTGCAAAGATGGTCAAACAAGTGTCCTGGGGCTCAGCAGCCTTCTAGTAGCTTCCCCCCATCTCCCGAAAGTGCGGGGCAGCCAGGCAAGAAGATTTCTGGAAAGGAGGGAAGCGAGAGGAAGTCAGGAACCCACTGGGGCCCAGCCGGCAGAGCATGGTGGACCCCTCTTTGGAACACAGTCTGCACACGCCACCCCTGACTCCGGGTGGCGGCAGGCCGGGACCTGGGGCTGTAGTAATGTGACTTGGACTTGGAGCTGGGGACCTTTGTGCCCAGTCTGCTTGGTCAGCGTGGAAAGCGGGAAGGGTACTGACTCCTGCTTAGCCTTAGTCCCCTGCAGGGACAGTACCCCGCCCAGGGCGCACGTCAGGGCTGGCTGGACGGGGAGGGAGACTTCCTGGCCCCGAGAGGATGATGTGGAGGGAAGAGAGGTTTCTGTGGTAAAGCCGGGGTTCAGCGTGTCTGAGTGAACGGCAGAGTGGCTCTCCTTTCAGAGACTGGCAGACTGAGGCTCAGAGTGGAGGTGGGGGGGGTTGGGGCGGCCCGGGGTGCCCCAGGCCTGCCTGAGTCTCCCCTATCGCCCCCACCACCAGAACTGTCCTGGTTCCAGACTGTTGGGGAGTCAGCGCTGGATGTGGAGTCTTTCTCCTACCAGGGGGAGCCCTACATGGTCCTGGCCCAGCCCTTCGCTGGACGATGCCTGATCCTCGCCTGGGACTACAGCCTGCAGCGCTTCCGGCCTGAGGAGGAGCTGGCGGGTGAGCACCAGACCCATCCCGGACCCCACTGCTGGCCCCCCGGGACCCCCCTCGTGCGGTCTGCCTCGTGCGTGAACCTGACCTGCCCTGTGGTCCCGCCTCTCCTCAGCGCCCTCGGTGGTGTCTTGCCAGCCCCTGGTGCTGGGCCCCAGCCTCTTTGTGCTGGCTGCCCGGCTGTGGGGGGGCTCGCAGCTGTGGGCACGGCCCAGCCCCGGCCTGCGCCTGGCCGCCACGCAGACCCTGGCCCCACGGCAGCTGCTGAGGCCCAACGACGCCGAGCTGCTGTGGCTGGACGGGCAGCCCTGCTTCGTGGTGGCCGACGCATCCAAGGCGGGCAGCACCACGCTGCTGTGCCGCGAGGGCCCCGGCTTCTACCCGCGCCAGAGCCTGCACGCCTGGCACCGAGACACGGACGCCGAGGCCCTGGAGCTGGACGGCCGGCCACACCTGCTGCTGGCCTCAGCCTCGCAGCGCCCCGTGCTCTTCCAGTGGGTAGGGGGCCACTTCGAGAGGCGCACCGACATCCCTGAGGCCGAGGACGTCTACGCCACCCACCACTTCCAGGCGGCCGGGGACGTGTTTCTGTGCCTGACGCGCTACATTGGGGACTCCATGGTGAGGCTAGGACCCAGGTGGGGACGGGCACGCGGGGATAGTTGTGCCTCCCACGGGAACCCCTTTCCACGCAGACCCTGCCAGCACACTGGCCTCAGAACGCTGCCTCATGTGCCGCTCTTTGCACTTTGGCCTCGCTGTGTAAGGGGGACCCTCCCCAACTCCCCGTCTCCCGATACTGGCTCCCAGATTCTGGCTCTAACCCCAGCACTGGTCCTGCTTGCCGCTCTGATACCCACTTTCCTGCGGGAGATGTGTGTATGTGGGGGGGCTGGGCGTTCTGAGCCAAAAATCACTGACTCAGGTTCACAGCGTGTGTGTGTGTGTGTGTGTGTGTGTGTGTTTGTCATGGTGAGCCAGAGAGGGGGTGAAGGTTTACTTCCCGAGGCCACACTGACTACCTGAGGAGAAAGGAGAGTCAAAATAACTCCTGGCCAGAGCAATACTCCAGCAGGAGAGCCTGGGCTTTACATGCAGCCAACCCCGGGTTCAATTCCTGACATCCCACCTGGTTCCCTGAGCACCGCCAGGGGGGATTCCTGCATGCAGAACTGGGAGCAACCCCTGAGCACTGCCAGATGTGGCCCAAAACACAAGCCAAACAAAAAATAACAAGAATAGCTTCCAAGTTTATGTGCTGGTGGGAGGTGACGTTCACGGAGGTACAGATCTGCGGTGTTTTGGGGACTTAGGGGCTGCAGTTTCCAAGCCACTCAGGTGGCCTGGAGCCCAGGGAGGCCTGGCCCCAGCTGACCGGTGGCCACTTTGCAGGTCATGCGCTGGGATGGCTCTATGTTCCGCCCACTGCAGCAGCTCCGCTCCCGCGGCACGCACGTCTTCCAGCCGCTGCTCATCGCCCGGGACCAGCTAGCTATTCTGGGCAGTGACTTCGCCTTCAGCCGGATCTACCGCCTGGAGCCCGACAAGGGCCTCCTAGAACCGCTGCAGGAGCTGGGGCCTCCGGCCTTGGTGGCCCCCAGAGCGTTCGCCCACATTGCAGTGGCGGGCAGACGCTTCCTCTTTGCTGCTTGCTTCAAGGGCCCCACCCAGATCTACCAGCACCACGAGTTAGATCTCAGCGCCTGAGACCAGTGGGGACCCTGGGCACTGAGGGCACGGGGCTGGCAGGGAGGCCTGGGTCTCTGGCTGTCGCCTTAACGGCCGCCTGACCCCGAGCGGTGACAGGTGGTTGGGCGAGATACTGGCCACTGGACAAGCCCCGGACAAGAACGTCCCTTCCGGTCTTAAGCAACATCTTGGCTGGAGCAGATGTCCCCACCAAGGGTGACTCAGGCTGGGACACTGTCCAGTGCCCAGATGCACAAGTCACGGGGGGTGTGTGATGCACAGAAGCTCCCGTCTCCCCTCTCCACACTCCCTCCGCCCCTCTCTGCCCCTCCTCCCCATCTCTCACCCCATCACCCCACCTTGGTCCCACCACCCCCGGGCCAGCTCCTTCCCCTCTGGCTTGCAATGAAAATTCTGAGCAGAGACAATTCCATGCTCCAATCAGTCGGGCCAATCACCTTCGGGGCCCGCCCCATGACGTCACCAGTGGCTGGGCCGGTTTCCCAGCGCGTGAGGATGCTTTGTGCGCATGTGTGCTTGCTGCACAGACTGGGGGACCCTTCCTTTCCTCCCGTGTGAGGCGATTGTGCAAGGGACGAGGCGAGAAAAGCGCATGTGTTGTGAGGAGCCCACGGAGGGCTGGGCCGCGGCTGAGAGTGTCTGAGTTCAATAAAGGAGCCGCCCACTACTTCTGTGGGATCACTGGGAGGTGGAGGGTGGGGGCAGCGGGGTGCGGGGTCTCAGGAGTATGGGGTGCCGAACGGGCTGTTCCAGGCATGCACAAGCATCATTCAGGGACAGGACACAGATTTCTTGCGGGTCTCTTGGCGGGGAGGGGTGTCTTGTCCTTGCACGCAGAGATATTTTGAAGAATTTCGGGTATTTTATGGAGTGACTCATGAGAATACTTGGGAGGCTTTATGGAATATTGGGAAAATTTCAAGGAAGTCTAAGTCTGTTTACTTAAAGGTCCCACTAGGACTTTTGGAATTTTGTTTTGTTTTGTTTTGTTTGGGGGCCCACACCCAGTCATGCTCAGGGTTTATTCCTGGCTCAGCACTCAGGGGACCACTCCTGGCAGGGCTGGGTGTCATCCATGGTGCCGGAAATCCAACCAAGGTTTACTGTATGCAAGACAAGCACCCTGCCCGCGGAACTACTTCTCTGGCCCAACACCAGGACATTTGAGTTTTAGAAGGGACCTTCTATAATAAAACGGAGTCATGGGGTGAGCGGGAGGGTGTCACTGTACATTCAAACTATCTGGGCACTCATGTCAGGGTGAAATGATTACACCTTCCTTTTTTCCTGAATCGGCCCCAGGGTTCCAGCAACCCACCTGCTCACAGTGTTCACTCAAAGACATATTTTCCTTGTGGCCATGGCTGTTACAGTTTTCATTTTTGTTTGTTTGCTTTTGGGGTCACACCCAGCAATGTTCAGGGAACACCCAGCAATGCTCAGGGGTTACTCCTGGTGCTGCACTCAGAAATTACTCCTGGAGGTACTCAGGGGACCATATGGGAAGCCGGAAATTGAACCCGGGCCTGCCGCGTGCAAGGCAAATGCCCTCCCCGCTGTACTATTGCTCTGGCCCTTTTACACAGTTTTAAATTTATTCATTGGTGGTTCCTCCTGGTGACCATGGTGATCAGGGAGGCTGAGGGAAGATCTCACGATACATACCATGTAATGAGAGTCGAGGCGGGGCGGGGGGGTGGGGAGTCCCAATGGAGATCCAGCTGGCAGCTTCTGTGGCAGCCCCGGAGCACAGCCTCCTCACCCCCCCAATCCCAGCCCAGCATACACAGAGGAAGTCTTAAGACTCTTCAGGAAGGAGGCCAGGCCGTTTTAGGGTCAAAGTAAAACAGAGACTCCCAGAAATGCAAGGTGTTGAGGGCCCAGCTTGGCAGTCAGAGGCGCGGTGGGAGAGGCTGTGCTGGGGTCAGGGCTTCTCACGAGCTTGGGGCTTGGGGAGAGGGAGGAGCTATGTGCTCTGCCCCTTGTTCGGTTCTCAACAGTTATGAGCAGAGCCTGGAGGAGATGAGATCGGCTGGTTAGACTAGATCAAGCTCTGTCTCTCCAGGGCACGGGTTTGCACACATAGGCACTTCCCACATCACCGCATACACACCACATACATGCCACGTGCAAACCACAGACACAGCTCACACACACCACAACACATCACATGTGTGCCATACACCACACATGCCACAAACAGCACAGAGCACATACACACCACACATACACAGCACAGACATGCCCCACACCACACATATGCCACACACAGCATATACACATCACATACACACCACACACATGCGACACATACCATATATACACCACACACACTCTACATACATTCCACGGCCACCATGTATATGCCATACATGTCACATACATAACACACACGTACCATATACATGCCACATATACATCAAACACATATTCCACACATACCACACCCGCACACACCACACATGCACCACACACCACATACATTCTTTGTACACACTACACACGAACCGCATATACATCATACACACCACATACACAGACCACACTCCCACAGCAAACTCACCACGTACATAGCATATACCACACTCACCACTACATACACACCATGGGCCACATCTTCCACATACACACACGTACACACACACCATAGCACTGCACATCTGTGTCCCCCTGTGTCCCCCCTTGGGCCCACTCTGCCCCCTCTTACCTGGAGTGATGAGTGGCGGGGCTTCCCCTGGACGGTGGCTGGGAAAACAGAGGTAGTGAGCCTGATGCTCCGTCTCCCCTCTCCCGGCTAGAGGATTCTCAGCCTGCCCAGCAAGCTGCCCCACTAGTTCTCCATCCTTGAAAGGACCGAAGCTTCCCGGGAACCAGAGCACTCCAGGATTTGGGGCTCTGAGACCAATCAGCTCTGGAGTGAACCTGGGACTCCCAGTGACTGAATATCCCTGCCCCCCGCCCTCCCTTCCATGTAGCTGGGACCCCCTTGCCCATCCCCTCGCACCTGTGCTTCTGGTTGAACCTGCATTTGCATTTCCCACCTGAGGGAGGAGAGGGGAAAGGTCAGAGGTGCGACCCACCGCCCCACCCCGCCGCACCCCACCTGCCCCTCCACTCACTCAGGAGGACGATAATGCCCACGGCGCACAGGACCCCTGCGCAGATGAGCCCGCCGACCCGGAGGCTGTGCCAGTCTAGGAGAAAGCCAGAGGCCCTCAGTACCAGCCTGTGCCCTCCAGCGTTGGGGTTTCGGGGTTAGGAGCATCCCCCAACCCCCTACCCGCCCCCCCCCCCGCCCCCCCCCCCGTGTCTCTGAGCTTTCTAGTCTGTGTAAGACTTAACAGGGCTGGTGGAGAGCAAGGGTCCCGGGGCAGAGAGTCAGGGGATGGAGTGGGGGTGGGGGGATTTGGGAAGGGCCTGAAGTGGGAGGGGAATGGAGAGGAGGAGTGAGGATGGCAGGGGAATCGAAAGGTGCAAGGACCCTCAGGTCCTGAAGCAGGGCGGCCGGGAAGGCGGGGAGAGCAGGGGCAGACGTGTGGCAGGAGGATTTGGGCCCAAAAAGCTCCTGCCCCCAGGGGAGCCTTCTCCAGCAGATGATGGCCTGAACCTTGTCAACAGGGCTTCTGCCAATGTGCCCTTACTGGCTTCCCTTGTGCCTGATGGGCGTGGGACTCGATGATTTGACTCACTGCCTTGCCTGGCGAGAGCCCTCATCTAGCCCCTTCCTGTCTCATCCTGCCCTGCTTGGAGCCCAGGCACAAAATGGCACATGGGGGCATAGAGACACGCAAAGGATGGGGGGTGCAGTTCTCACCGTAGTAGAAAGGACTGTTTTTATCTGCAAACAGAGGAAAGAAAGAAGGATGTGAGTCAGATGGGACAACAGCTGGGAGGCAGGGCTAGGGAACGGGAGGGGTGCAGGGGCACCCGGCTCAACTTACCTTCAGGATCGTTGGCGTTCAAGGCAGGAAGGCCTGGTGGGGAGGGTGGGGGAGAAAGAGGATTGGGGCACCTGAGCCAGATGGCAGACAGGGGTATGTAATCTCGGGGACTCCCGAGGGCCCCTAATATTGCTCCTCATTCCTTCCGACCGGGGCACCCAGCCTCGCTGCCTCTACGCACACCCGCTCAGCCCCACAACTTGGAGCCCCGCCAGCATTGTGACACTTGGAGGTGGTTTCAGTTTGGGTGAACTGAGTCCCATTGTGTCTAGGGACCTGGCAGATCCAGACTGGCGGAGGAGCCGTTGGCATTTCCCATGGCACAGGGGTGCCCAAGAAGACGGATGTTCCCGCTTGTGGCTTGCTGCAGCCACACCCCACCCCACCTCACCTGCGCGCTGCACCCCCGTGCTTTGAGTCTATGCCTCGTGGAAGGAATCCCGGCCTCGAGAAGAATTGATGAGGGATTTAATCCACCAGAGAGATGAGGATTAAAGCCTGGCTGGAAGCCGGGGCTGTCTCAGCTGGGGGCGCTTTAGCTCTGTTCTTTCCCGGTTCGAGGGAGATTAATAATTTTTAATTAAACGTCAAGCCCACGCATAGCCCGCTTACTCGGCACCGGGCTCTGTTCTAAAAAGCTTTGCAGATCCAGATCCATTAGTTTAACCCTCATAACTACTCTACCCGGACCAGAGCTATTGTCTTCGATTGACAGGTGGGGAAACTGAGCACAGGGGGTGCATAACTTGCTTCCTAATCACCCTCATTTCCCTGGGGGGTAGGAGGGTAGTTCAAGACCCGACCTTCTCCTTGATGTCATTGAGGACATCAAGATGTGTAACCGCATGTGACCACTGTTAAGTGTGTCCCGGAACAGCCAGGGTGACACTGCCTACACTTAGGTACTCACCACCCCAGGAGGAGGCAGCAATTAGGGAGCAAGAGGAACCCTGCCCGGTTTGGGTGCTACCACTCAGCGAGGGGGGCTGCAGGCACGGGGTGGTCTGGGGCAACACTCACCCACCAGGAGCACCAGCAGGGGCAGAGCGACCTCTTGCATGTTGGAGCAGGGCCTGGAGGAAGGGGAGGCCTCAGTTCCCAGGTCCCTCCCACTCCCACACCACCCAGGACACGGCCCGCCCCAGGGCAGGAGAAGAAAGGGGCAGATGGAAGAAGCATGGGGAAGGGATGCTGAGAGATTGACTGGTCACTCCCCATGGGCATCCAGTAGATCTCCCTGGCAGCCCCAGGAGAACACCCCCTCTTTTTTTTTTGGTTTTTGGGTCACACCCAGCGATGCACAGGGGTTACTCCTGGCTCATGCATCAGGAATTACTCCTGGCGGTGTTCAGGGGACCATATGGGATGCTGGGAATCGAACCCGGGTCGGCGACATGCAAGGCAAACGCCCTACCCACTGTGCTATTGTTCCAGCTCCAGGACACCACCTCTTACAGATGGGGACACTGAGGCTCTGAGAGGCCAATGCAGGGGCCCGGGGTCACCTTGCCAGCAAGCCAGGTCGGCGCCAGGATTTGCCATGTCTGCTCCTAACTCAGGCCTCTCGGAGCCTCGGGGTGTTTTGAAAAGGGGTGCTGGGAGCCAGGTGGCAGGAGGTCTGGGAGTCTGGGAGTGTCTCCCCTCAGCAGCTCCTGGCCTGCCCGCTCTGCCAAGACCTGCCTAGGCATAGCTGACCCGGGCTTAGCCCCAGGCCTCCACCCTCCTCCAGGGCCGGCCGGGGTGGTCAGACCTGGGAGAGGAGGAACGAGGGTCTGGCGCCAGCTGTTGGGGCATCTCCTCCCCATACCCCGAGCCATGCCACACTCCTGCCCGCGACCGCCGACTCCATGGAGAACCTCCGTCCTCCGCCTGCTCCAGCCTCCGTCCGTGCCACCACGTCCTCTCCCAGCCCCGATAGTGAGAGCGGGCACACCCGCCCCCACCGTGCTGGACACTACTTCCTTGAGTCACCCCCACCTGGGCCGAAGGCCATCTGCTGCACCCCGGTTTATCTCACGGCTAACAGAATCCATGCCCCCTCCTCCTCTGCATCCCTCCTGCCAGCAGCCGGGAGCGTGCCTGGTCTGTTTCTCCTGTCTTCCATGGGATCCACACCCCAGCTTTGTTCCTTACACATTCTCACAGATCCCCCTCGCCTCCCTGGGCCCCCAGATCCTCCCTTCGGAGGCCGCATGCTGGGCTCGTATGCTGGGGGCCACCACCCAGTCAGTCCCCACAGCCAGAGCGGGCTGCCACTGGGCAGGGCCGGGCCCCGGGGCAGAGGGATCCCACAGTCCGAATGAGGAGGTGTAGGCAGGATGGCAGAGGCACGGGACCCCCCACCCAGAGGAGCAGCTCTCGCCTGTCCTCAGCCCCCAGCCTGGCCGCTGAGGGAATCGTGGCTCCTAGTGGAGTCGGCTGAGGATGAGCTCCCCACTCTGTGCTGCGGCTCTGGCCCCCCGTCCCTGGGGCTGCACCTCCACCCCCGCCCCCACCCCCCGCAGCCTCTGTCCAGGCACTGACAGCCAGGTCTCCACAGCCAGGTCTTGGCTGCACCCCTACCTGCTCCCCTGGGTAAGGGGACAGCCGGGATGGGGGGGGGGGGGGAGAGTCTGCCACCCCGCCCCGTTCCTTCCTGGCCCTGAGTACCAGCACAGCCCCCGGCCTACCCACACTGCCCGCCTCCGCCTCCCCTGCGGCCTCCTGACTCCCCATTTCACAGCTTCCCCCCTGGAAGCTTCCGGCCCCACTTCCCTTGAGGCTCCCAGGACCCACATATGGCCAATCCTTTGACACCCCACGTTTTGCATATGGTGAACCCCCAGACCTAGGTGGAACCCCACGTCCTTCCCACAGCCCTGGTCTCCCTGTAGCCAGCCTCTGCAGACACCCTGTTCCTCGGCCCTGCCTTTCACCAGGCACCCAGTGACTCACCCAGCGGGGGAGGGGGCGCCGCTTTAGAGTGGAGGGTTCTAGAGCCTTTCACATCCACAGCAGAGAGGCAGGGACAGTTCAGGGTCCCAACGAGAGGGTCCCAGCCACTCACCTGTGTGGCTCACTGAGCTGTCGGGAGGTTCCAGAGCGAGTGGGCTGCTGGGCCCGGGGCCTGTCTTTATCCGGCAGGGCCACGCCCTGTGCAAACCTGGGCAGGTAGAGAGCAAGTCTCCCTCCCTCCCGAAGCTGGGGGCTCCCTCGCCAGGTCTGCTCTTAAAGAGACAGCTCCTCAGCCCAGCCTCTCATGGCAGGAGCTTGCTGGGGACTTCCAAGCTGGGGGGAGGAGGGGGACAGACGGAGTGAAGAAGAGGAGGGGGTGCACAGGTAAAGTGAATAGCGGCGGGGAGCAGGACAAGTAGGAACTCGGGTTCTCTCGTGAGGGAAAGAGTTCCCTCTTGTGGGGCAGGCCTGTGCCTCCACGTCCCAACTGTATCTGAGCTGGGGACAGGACACGGATTTCAGTGACTCGGGCCCTTCGGGCCCTTCGGGACCAGGGGCTGTGGAGGACATGCTCCTCAGGATCTGCTGGAAGCACCCCCCCCTCAGGCCAAAAGTTGGGATCCTGGTGGTGGTGCTGAACCTTAGCCCAACACCATGGACCCTAGAGAGTCGGAGCTCCTGGCCCTGCCCTGGGCATGTGGGGGGGTGGCCCCCACCCCCAGTAAGGATAAGGCCCCGTGCAAACCTCCGTCCTCCCCTCCCCCTGCCCCTCCTCCTCATGACATTCCTTCCGGCCGGGGTCTGTGCAGGCCCCCACATGGTTCCCCTTGGGGTGCCCCCTCCCCCCAATTCCGCCGTTTTAGACAGAGGGACTTTTGTCTGGGGGCTGGATGCAGAACAAGGCGCCTTTGAGCGGCTGGCGGAGGATTGGGGTCACGGGGAGGGGCAGGGCCAGAAAGAGGTGGCTGTGCGCGGGCCACCAGCTGCTCTCCAGGCGACCCCCAACACCGTAGGGGGTGCAGGATGCAGGAGAGGGCCAGGGTTTCACTTGGACGGGGCCAGGAGGTTCGAGGGGTCCAGGCTCTGCTGGGCGGCCAGCAGGGAGCAGGGAGAAAGGACCCCCATTTCATAGCAGGGCCGCACAGGGAACCCCTATGTTGGCCCGGAGACGTGCTTCTCTATGCGGCCCCGGGGGCCACTCTTCATCTAGGCCCCAGACTGAGACAACACCGCCTCCCTCCTCGCAATGGTGCGGCACTCAGGATGAGGAGGGGAACACAGAAACAGCGGAAGGAGAGGCCTGGGGAGGAGAGGATGGTGGCTGTCCAGCCCCGGGGGTCTTGGGAGCCTCCCTTTCTAGGCAGGTAGCATCTCTAGCCCAGACTTCCAGAGAGCCAAGCCCTTGGGAAGCCCCTTTGGTGGTCTTGGGAATGGGGTGGTGTCGCCCCCTGGTGCGTGGTCCAGGAATTACATGCATCGGAGAGGAAGCCATGTGTCCAGGAAGAGGGTTTGTTCTGACCTTCACCGGACTGAGTCTGCCACTAGGGGTCAAAGGGGCAAATGGAGGGCACGTGGGGGGTGCTTCTCTGGGGTCTCTGTGGTGGGTGGATCAAGCTACAGTAAGAACCAAAAGACCCAATTGGACCATATGTGTGTGGAGGGATTCCATGGTTAGAAGTTCTAGAGTGCCTGGGACAGGCTGAGGGGCTGGGTTTAGCGGTTGTTGTTGTCATTGTTGTTGTTGGTGGTGGTGGTGCTGGTTTGGGCAGTACTCAAGGACGCTCCTGTCTGCATTCGTGCTTGGAAGGCTTCATGGGATGCCGGGGATCGAAGCTGGGGTGGCTGTGTGCAAGGCAAATGCCCGACCTGCTGACTCTCCAGCCCCAAGTCTGTGTACTCTTGGGCCAGTGAATGGACGAGGGGACACCGGTGTCCAGGAGAGAGGACAGGGTCTCACGTGCTGAGGAAAAGATGACTCGGGACAAACACGGAGACGCTGGACTCTGGGCCACCATGCACTTTTCATGTGACAGCTTTCTCCAAGGGAGAGGTGACAGCTGGGGCTGCCCCAAAGCCCAGAGGTCTTCGCTCTCCAAGGCAGTGGTGTCCCGAGCCTCCGGAAGCCCACTGGCCTCCACACATCAGTCCCCTGGTCCACTGGAGCCCTGGGGAGAAGCCTGCTCTCACCTCTGGGGACACCTCGCCCCGCTGACCACAGCGAGTTGGGCGGGAGCTGGGATGGACAGTACTTCCATGAGCCGAAGAATCCGAACCCTGCAACGGATCCACGCGGTGGGCAGAAAGCTTCTGCCAGGGGCCTCGCTATAGGAAACGAGCAAGACAGAGAGAAGCGAGGGTAGGAATGTGTGTGCACGGCCTCACCAGGAGTGGGAGCCTGGGGACTGGCCCCGTGTTGGCTTCCCAAGGGCACTTTCAGGAGGACAGGGGCTCATTTGTCACCATACACCCCTCTTCTCTCTCTTCTCTCCTCTTTCTCTCCCCTCCTCTCCCTTCCCTCCCTCTCTCTCTCTTTCTCTTTCCCTCTCTTTCTCTCTCTCCCTACCACCCTCCCCTCTCTCCTCTCCTTCTCTGGATTTTGGGTCTCACCCAGCAGTGCTCAGGGCTTACTCTAGATTCTGCTCTCAGGGATCACTCCTGCTGGTGCTCAGGAGACCCCGTGTGTTTCCAGGGATCAAACTGGGCTCTGCATTGTGCAAGGCAAGAGTCTTAACCCCTCTCCTGTCTCTCTGGCAATCTCTCTCTCTCTTTTTTTTTTCTGCTTCTGCTTTTTGAGTCACATCCACCGATGCTCAGGAATTACTCCTGACTCTTCACTCAGGAATTACTCCTGGTGGTGCTCAGGGAACCATATGGGATGCCGGGAATTGAATCCAGGTCAGTCGTGTGCAAGGCAAACACCCTACCCGCTGTGCTATCGCTCTGGCCCCCCTCTCTCATTTTCTATCCTGAAAATATCCTACCTTGATGAATATAGTTAATCCAAAGATTAAGAAATAAGCTCTCCACCAGTGCTGCTGCATTTTCAGCTGCTGTCAGAAACTCAAATCATTCTGTGGAATTGGCTATACCGAGCAGCGCAGACTCTTTGGGGATTTTTTCTTTTAG